CTCTCAAACAGTCTCCATATCATATTTCAAGTTCACAAAAATAATTCGAGACGAAGGATATGAGTTGGTGTCATATTTCAAGTTAGGACAAATTCCTCGACCGAAAATTGACCCAACAATAAACAAACACCGCTAACAGTTGGATAAGACATTACCCCGATTTAGTCAAAACCTACTCCCACATACACATCCCATCGCTTTAACCCACAAATTCAACCCCCGCCCCTCCCCCACACCCAGGGTGATGCAGCTGCTCTGGACTCTCCATACGCGCATGCACGGGCACGCATATACGCTCCGGAATTGTTCATTTGATTAAGCAGCCACCCAAAAAAATGGCTATGAGTATGAGAAATCAAGTGGGCTGAGTTTTGTTTGCCAAAATGTCGAATAACGAACATGTTCCGAGCACGTTCCGGGCTCTGGCGGAAAGCGCCGAGCGTAAATTCGCCCGGGTGCGCGACGTGCCATTGCATCCATACGGAAAAAGTGGAGCCCACTTCGGCCATTTCTTCCACAAAGTTTTTAAAGCTTACATGCGGCTATGGAAGTACCAGCAGGAGAATAGGCTGAAGCTGGTGGAGTCGGGGCTCCAGCGTTGGGAAATTGGGGAAATTGCTTCTCGGATCGGCCAATTATATTTCAACCAATACTTGAGGACCAGTGAAGCTAGATTCTTATTCGAAGCGTATATATTTTACGAGGCAATTTTTAACCGAAACTATTTTCAAGGTTCGATCAAGGATCGTGGAGTCAGGTTCAAGGAGTTGAGGTTTTATGCCAGATTTGTCATGGTTTCATTGATTTTGAACCGCGGGGAATTGGTGAAGATGCTAGTTGCAAAGCTCGAGGCTCTGGTTGAGGATAGTAAAACCAACTTTCGGGTACGAATTTGCTCTTCTACTACGATAACCATCTCACGTAAGCTTTTTGAGAGGCCACCTGTATTCATTTAAATTTTGCCTTGAACTGTTACATTTTTATCTGAGATATAATTTGGTTTCAGTTTTGTTAATTGATATTCAACGTTAAGTAAATTTATCGCAACATAAGTATAAATGTGCATGATGAAAAAAAGGGACAAGTATTTGGTTAGCGTAAAAAGTGTATAGATATAGTATTTGCATTATTTAATTGTTTAGATTTTGGGTCAATCTTTTGCTAATTTAGTGCTTTTTTTCTTGAAAAAGTTGAATGCTAATCTTTCTACGAGTTTATAGATTTATATGTTGTTTTTATAGATTTAAATGTTCCCCCATCTCTTTTTGATCCTATAGGAAGATACAATCATTTACTATCTCTTTGGATTTTTGGATAAATATATATACCATTTGTTTCTTTTTGAATGAATCGGTGCTCGAATGTCTGGTTCTAAGCCCCTGTTTGGTTTAGATAAAAGTAGATTTTTAGTAAATTTTGATAAAAGCTGATGAAATGTGTGATTGAAAAGTTGATAAAGTTTGTGGAGGTTATGGTTGAAAATGAGTCTGAGGAAATATGAGTTACAGAAAATGGGAGCCAAACAGGGCTAAACGTGAGCAAAAATAGTTGAATTTTAAGGCAGACGAGGTAATGTGTTGATCTTGTAAACTGGGAGATGACACTTGGGTGAATGCTATTAGGTAAACTAATTTCCCTATAGGGATTGTCTTAAATAATGCATTGATTAATTTCTCTTGAGTGATGTGGATTTTATGGCTAGCTGTTACTTGTTTGACTTGCTTTCATTTGTTAATTTGATAATGTCTCTTGAAATAGTTATGCATGCCAATTCTGAAGTATGAATTTTAAAGAAATGTATGAGGACTTATCTGAAAATTTTTTGACTGATTTTAGTAAGTTGTTTTAAGTTTTCTTTTATCCAGATTAATTGAGCATTGGATGGTTTGTCTATATCTTAACTAAGGAATGTATAATATGGTTGCACTACAAACAGTAATCCATTATGACAGATTACATATCCAATTTTCACTCAGGATACGAACTTGAAAGAATGGAAGCTGGTGGTGCAAGAAATTATGCGATTCTCAAAAGCTGAATCTGCCTTTCGGAACCGTCGACCTTTGCGTTATCATGCCATATTTGACTCGTATCCAGCCTCTTTACCATATGTGGCCAGATTCAATGCTAAGAGACTTCTAAAGTTGCACGATGCTGTGCTGACAAGCTATCATAAAAATGAGGTACATGATTTTGTCGGAAGATTGATGTAGGACAATCTTATTCTAAATAGGATTTCTTTTCGTGATAGGTTTTATTCCTTTTTCTTATTTCTTGTTTAGAAAAAGATTTCTCTTTTTTTATTAGAATATGATTTCTTTCTTGTTAGGATGGGCGGATTTAGCCCCCACTGCCCCCACACTCAATTTCAAAACCTCCGTTGTACAGTTTAAAATATAACCTTTGGATAGGTATTGGTTGTTGACACACCGTACCAAATCCACCTTTTGCCCCCAAGATTTAACAAGCCTAGTTCTGTCCTGGGTTAGGATAAAGATTTTTTCTCCTTTTAGGATTTTAATTATGTCTTTAGCATTAGGGAATTAATTTGTTTATTTAAGCATAGCTTTATACACTTTTTCAAGGACCAATTCATTATACTAAAATTATTCCCTTCCAAAATTTTATGTTGTTTCAAGAAACAATTCCGCTTTCGCACCACTTATGCTATTGAAGACAAATTAGTTCACTCTGGAAATTGAGCTCCCTACATGTCATTTCAGATCAAATTTGCAGAACTCACTTTAGACACTTTCAGAATGCTGCAATGTTTGGAATGGGAGCCTAGTGGATCTTTCTACCAAACACATCCCATTGAATCAAGAGAGAATGGTACTCTGTTGGCTGATCATTCTCTGACTTCGGGACTGATAGATATGAAGTTGGTGGCTGAGATGACAGATCCAACTTTGCCTCCAAATCCTAAGAAAGCCGTTCTCTATCGCCCATCGGTGACACAGTTATTAAATGTGAGTACTGGAGTTTTATGTTGTTATTTTCTACTTTATGACATAATTTCTGCTTCAAATTTGGGCTTGGGAGAAAGTTTTTGCATATTGCACTTGTCTGAATATTAGCCTACTTGCTTGCATTTCTTGCACATTCCTTATAAATTTCTAACTGCTCGCATTATTTGCAGGTGATTTCTACGATTTGTGAGGAACTTCCGTTGGATAGTGTTATGCTTATATACTTGTCTGCCCCAGGTGGCTTTTGACATATAATTTGTCTCTCAAAACACTCAAGATATCTCCATTCGATCCTAAACAACCAAATATAATGTTATGATTGCAGGGAGTTCTGGTTATGGAAGTAGTACTTCACAAATGGTTAGCTCTGGGAATCCAATAAAATGTTTGAAACTCAATCCTGAACAGAACAGTTGTCTATGTGAAAATCATCTCACTGTTAAAGGAGACTCAAGTCACTATTTTGATAACTACTTGTGGTTAGGTCCAAGTCGAAATGGAGGTAGGAAGATATAAATGAACTGTATGTAATTAGTCTTCCATTTCGAGAAACTTTTACTCATGGTCTTCTCATCTTATTCTCCCTAATAAATATGATTGTGTTACAGGTTCAAATATCTTATTCCCTGGTGATATAATTCCTTTCACTAGAAGACCTCTCTTTTTGATAGTAGATAGTGATAACAGCCATGCATTCAAGGCAGGTTTGTCTAAACTTTGAACAGTAATAATCCCGACTAGTAAAAATGCTGATATATTTATTTTGTGGTGTGCTGAGCATCTTCACATTTCATTTTAGAGATGAAATCTGCATTCATAATGTTTAATTACTATTTTATGTGAACTAAAATTTTCATCTTTATTGTTTGGCATGATCACTTGGGTAGTTTCTTCGTGCCTTGTTTAATGTTTTACATGTCAACAATCAATAGTTTTGTAATCACTGTTGATACATTAAGCTTAAAAATGACTTTAGCTCAGTAATGAGAAGAATGAAGAAATCATTCCTCCCATTTTGGTTTAACCATAAACCCTCATGGTATAAATTCTTGCTGAATAGCCAAGAACTATTTAATATGTAAAGTTGTTTGTCGTCCATTGAAGGAATATTTTCTTGATCCTTGAACCCTTGTGACTCAAAAAATAATTGCAAGGAGGTTTTATTCCTAGTTTCCAACATTTAATGAAGCTTTTCTGTTTTGTCCTACCCATTAAGTAGTGGGTGCGTACTAATCAGAGGGAATCATACAATAATTTGGCATCCCAGGTACTTGAATACGTTCCCCTTGTTAAGTTTTAGTTTGATGAATGTTTTGGATTTTTTTAATCATCTATGTAATTTAGCATACTTTTTCATGGGAAGTAATCCCACGCATAGTTTTAATTCAGAAATCATTGCTCAAGAATTCAAATAACATGTATTTTCCAATCTTTCCTACTGACTTGCTGATATATACACTGCTCTTCAGGTTCTTCATGGAGCAGAAAGGAGTGAACCTGCTGCTTTATTTCTTTCTCCTTTAAGAACTTCATTCAATAAACGGAGTGGTGCCAATATGGCACAAAATGGAAGTCAGTTCACCTTGTTCTTGACTACTCCATTACAAGCTTTCTGCCAGACGGTTGATTGCAATTCATCTGATGATGATTCTGTAAATGAATTTTATTAACTGATTCAATTCTTCAGAAAATAGTTGCATCATCATATGGTTTCATATGTTAATTGGTTTCTTTCAGGATGTGTACAGTGATGCAGAGACCATTTTGTCCGCTGCCTTCTCCGAGTGGGAGGTGATCCTCTGTACATCTACTGACCTTGATCTTGTCTGGGCTCAACTTCTGTCGGATCCATTTCTAAGGCGGCTTATTCTTAGGTAACTTGTACTCTGTCTCAACCATGCCATCTTGTAATATTTTGGAGAGGGTGATAGGTCGTAGGTGGTTTTACATTGACGTTTTGATCCATTAAGTTTAGTAATATTGATATAGATTCACTTCGAAATAATTCGTAGAAAATCTAATTTTTTTAGGCTCTAATAATTCTTTAGTAATCTTGCAAATTATAATATATCCATGATTAAGCTAATGATTTTGTATGTTCATGATGTCATCGCTCCAGATTTATCTTCTGCCGTGCTGTTCTGGCTCTATTTCAAGAAAGTGATCATCAATATTTACCCATATGCTTGCCCGAACTCCCAAGTTCTTTATCACCCAACTCCAACGTCGTGCAACCTTCTATCCAACGTCTTGCGAATCACCTTAAGGTTGCCAACTGTTTTCTCTTTTGTGACTAAACAGTGGAAGGATCAGAAATTATCTTCAAGGTCCGAAGGATAATTTTCCGCCTTCTATAGAGAGTTATTATATCGGTTTGGTGAGATAAAAGACTTCCAGTAACCCTCCGGTAACCCCCAGACCAGCATTTCAGGGCGCAGAAAATTTTTGCCGTGCAGTTGTAAAGTGTTCGTTTTTTGGGACGGTTCAAACTGGACTTGGCTGGCAATAGAAGGGATACATTTTGTGTTCGAAATTCTGTTTCTTCATCGTTATTTCCTTTTCTGGAGAGCTGTTCCGGATACAGGATATTTTTGGTGCATGGTATTATTCCAGTTCTTATAGTTGGTATAAAATTTAGATCTAATTTACTCATACTTTCTGTAAAAAGGAATTGTGTAGTTGAATGAGTGTTTCTTTTTGAAGTTTTGCCATCTGCTTCCTTCTTTGCATCCATTGTGTAGTTGAAATAAATAATCAAATAAGAGAAGTAATTAATAATGGTTTTATTAAAATAATTCACAAAAACGAAAAGAAAAGGGAAATGTCTTATTATGCTTAGGTATCGCTTAGGCACACACAGGTTAGACCTTGTCACCTTGTCATTAGGGGTGTAAGTGAGAGGGTTTAGTCGATTTTTGACATATTTTCAAACAAAATCATTTAAAATAAACTAAGAAATATTCAAACCTAAATCGAATCATTTCTAATGGTTTGAAACACTCGATATGAGTTGGTTTGCAGAATATTTTTCTTTTTGTTCACTTTATCATACTAATTCATTGATTATAAAATATCTTAATACTTTACTTTAGATAAAACGATACTATCAAATTTATAAATTTAAATACTGAAAAATCAAATAAAGGTCACGATCAAACAACGACAACGTTTGTCGGTTGAGGACGTAATATAAAGAGGGTCTAGACTTTGACATATCCCATATGGATTGACTTGTAAAAAAAATTATATATCTATCACTCATGGTGTTAGAACACCAATCTAGATGGAAAAATATGATGAATCCAATCAGGTGGGTCTCATAATCTTACATTTAATTAGAATAAATTGAACATGTCAGGTTCTTCCACCTAGATTGGTATTCTAGCCTTATGAATGCTAAATATCAGTGTTTAATCGATAATGGGCTTATGAAATTAGGGTAATTATGGGTATTTGTTAATGGACAATTGGCCAAACTATCTTTTTTGTATTAAAATTTCCAAAATTTAAAATTTTTATTCAAAATTTGTGAACAATCTTATTTGATTTCAAACTACTATTAAAATTCTCAAACCTTAATTCAAAATCATTTCATTGACAAGTCGGCATGACAATAAATCAATAATTCGAAAATACAATTTTTACTTACTTATCACCCTCATATCTTTTAGAATCTTGATTTGACCATTTTCATTCCTTAAAAAGGTGCACGTGCACGTGTGAGGTCGTTTGCAAGTTCCCGTTTTAGCAAAAGAATGGATAAGAATCATCTACAAGGACCATTACTCTATCAAATTGAAAGATAAGGGATTTAGTTGTCAAAGTTTAAATGTTTGGGATCAAATTACAACTATATGCAATATTTCCAAATTGATCCTATTACAAAATGCCGAGCCCCAAAACAATTTTCAATTGTAATTCTGATTATTTATAACCAATGGGAAAGATTAGTGAGGCCTCTTGATCCGAGTCATACCATTAACCTCAAATCCAAGCCGTCCACCATACTCAACTTACGTATTTATAGCCGTGAGATTTTGTACCTTTTATACATCGTGATAAGAAATCACTACCGTCCACTTTCTTAATGATAAGCGCCCTCAACGCCTATATATTAAAACCACCCTGAAATGATTGGGGATTTCGAATTTTTGAAGGAAGAAAACAGACAGAGAGGTAATTCTGAAAGGTGAGTTACTGTAATCATATTTTTACACGTATGTCGTGGATTAGGGTTTATATGAATCTTGATTTTGCAATTTACACTCTTGAGAAGAATCTGGGGTTAAGTTTGTTCAATTTGATAACGATTTTGTCATTTAATAATTATACGTGCTTAGGGTTGGAATTTTGGTTTTAGGTTTTGTTTTGGCTTTTCGATTTGGCTGTTTCATCACGATGTTCGTGTTTCTCTTGATGGATTGTCACGATCGTGTTAGATTACGGTTTTATGTCCAAATGTTAGGGTTTCGATGGGTTATTATAGGTTGATTTCTTAAAATTCTTTCTCTATTGCTTGATAACATGATGTCAGGGTTCATGCTTTTGATGATTTCTTTATAATATGAGGTGGCAAACAGGCATTGGTATAGGAGCTTACCTTAGGAATTTCCATTCAACTGTTTAAGGCCTTTTCTTTGGGAAAAGTTAAGAATATGACTCTAATGCAATAAAAGGGATAATCTGCAGATGGCTCGTACCAAGCAAACTGCTCGCAAGTCCACTGGAGGAAAGGCTCCCAGGAAGCAACTTGCTACTAAGGTCCTACTTTGCTATTGATTTGTTCTGCTTATGGATCATACATGTAATTACATTTTTCTGAAATGCCTGATGTGATATTTTTTCAATTGCCTGACTTAGGCTGCCCGTAAGTCTGCTCCAACAACTGGGGGTGTGAAGAAGCCTCACCGCTACCGTCCTGGTACTGTTGCTCTTCGGTGAGTACTCCTTTTTCGATATTTACACTTCAATGGCTTTTTGGTCACGTTGTGGAATAATGGTTGTCTTTCAATTGTGCTGATTCATTGCATCATTAATCCTATAATTTAGTGAAATCCGTAAGTATCAGAAGAGTACTGAGCTCTTGATCAGGAAGCTTCCATTCCAGAGGCTTGTCCGTGAAATTGCCCAGGATTTCAAGGTATATTGTGATGAAGAATCTTGTTTTTATTTCCTGATCTTTGTTAAAATAATTGGTTGTCCCACCAGATGTAGCAATAATAGAGTAGAAAGATGGTGCAAAAGTTTACTGAGAATAAATTTCAGTTTGTTGTTTTTTAAATTATGTGGTTTTTTTGGTTTTCTGATATGGGCTTCCTGATTGATTGCTTGTCCTTTGGTTGCAGACTGATCTACGTTTCCAGAGCCATGCTGTTTTGGCACTTCAGGAGGCTGCCGAAGCTTACCTTGTGGGTCTGTTTGAGGACACCAACCTGTGTGCCATCCATGCCAAGCGTGTGACCATCATGCCCAAGGACATCCAGCTAGCTCGTCGAATTAGGGGCGAGCGTGCTTAGACAATACCTGATCATCTTGCTTACATGTGACAGTAGTAAATGGTGGTGTTCTTTTGTCTATCTTTGTTAAGGAATATATAAGTACTCGACTATAATTTTAATTCCAGTTGGTTATGCAGACATTGATTTTCAGTGGCCGGTGGTGGTGATGTGCTGTAATGAATTTGGTGTTTTTGTTGTTTGATGCACAGGTGGTGATCGACTTTACTAGTAGTTTGTTTTGTGAAAACTCAAAAGTAACTGTTGTTGAACGTCGTCTTTATATTTGCTGCTAATGTAGTGAATTGGTGGGTAATAATTCTTTAGTATCACCATCTGGTAGCTCAAAATTAGTTTATAATTACTGATTGCCCTTTATGGTTTTCAACTTGGTTGCGAGCCGTGTACAACTGGTTGGGTTGAGTTTCCTTCCAATTTAGGTCTTTCTAATAACAGCATTTCTCTTCTAATTAAGTGTTTGGACTTTCTGGTTGTGTTGGATGAAGCCTTTGTTCTGAACTCAGACCTATTCTCGGTGTTGGGTGCTGTACCTAGATCTGTGGGCTATAGCCATTCGTTAAACAGCCGCTCCATTGTGGGAATCAACCGTATGCTGGTCCCGGCAAAATTCGTGAAGGGGACTAACCTTTGTTGATTTCAGTCAGCGGAGAAATGAAAAAGGGTGAAATGCTGTCACAGTGTTGCTTTTCTTCACAAAATGGGACTAGAAAAGAGCGTTATCAACTCATGATATAGACCAGAATCGAGGATTGGCTAGATTTCTAATTTTTCCCTTTAAGGACCTAATATTCGATTCCGAACCATTAATTTTCTGGTGCCTGTAACCTTCAGCGACTTCATCCCAATCTTTAAAATTGGAGTTTGTTCACAACCTTTTGTTTTAAAAAATATTTCGACATTTTACATAATTCTTTTAATGGGTTAAAGTAATCATTTCTCTACTGTTATTATTACTACTTTTGTGTGTTACCGACTAAACTTTGATGTAACTTTTTTGTTGGTGATTAGTGATTGAATATTCATAGGTGATTGTCAACATTCCATATGACAATTGTCCTCACTAATCATTGATTGTTTAGAAAGATGATCGTCGATTATAATGGATAATATAATTGTTGGTAATTCTATTCAAGTTGCCAATACATACTAATTATTGCTAAAATAGTTGACAACAATACAATTGGCTTCCATCAATTGTATGCTACATCTTAATGTAATTCTAATTCTACATTAAATGGTCGAAGTTCTATTTCATTTATGTTTTTTTAGAGTAGTCGTGAGGATAACGAGGATCAATGAAGTAGAGATAAGAAGTGGAGCTAAAGAAAGGTTATGGCATGAGGTCGATGGTCAAAGAATGAGCAAGGAAAGAACAGGCATAGCAAGATTTATGCTGGCTCACGAGCCAGGTCACGAATGCAATCCTGTGGATGTTCAAGGACTCGAGTTTAGGAGCCATTTGGACCCTCTTTGGAATTTTCAATTTCTTGTCTATTTATTTCATTAAATATATTATTTTGTTCGTTAATAATCTGAACTTATCACGAACCTTAATTTCACTAGTAGAATAACTGTTTTAAGAAACTCGATGTTATTCAATACATTTAATGATTAGGACATTTTTTTTTTCAAAATTAACTAAGATTGGACTAAACATATGTAATATATCTATCTTCCTTGATGCTTCCAAGTCATCTAGTCCAATAAACCAACCAGTTCATCCCACTCATATATACAATTATGCATAACATTTACTACTTTTAGGAGACTGCTTGATTAAAAGGTTGTCAGTGGGAACTGGGAAGAAAGAATCAGTTAAGAGTTGTATTAGTGGAAAATTACGTTGCTTTTCGACGTGAGAAAACATGAATGATAAGCAGGCATTTATTACTTATTTAAGCAATAAGATAGTCTACAGAAAATATGATCCCGATAAAATCATCTTCTGCAACATTTACGAAGTGCCAGCTAAAAGCAAAAGGCATTGATGGGGAGTTCTATAGTCGCACAAGTAAATGCGGATCACATTCAATAGAACGTTATTTGCCCGAGTATGCCTGATGTGTATGATTTTTGATCAATAAAATTTCACATTTATCGATTGAAAAATGGAAAATATGACAAAAAAACAGGCTATTTATTTCCCAGGCTGTAAGTGCCAAATACCCTACTTTACTAGTACAACTACAACTGTAAAGTGTTAAAAGGCACAGAAGATGAAACCTTTTATTCATCATAAATGGCCCTCTACCACACCAGTCAAAGTTGTTGGTTTAGCCACTTTACCTGTTGACTAGAGAATCCTGATTCACCTATTGTGTAGTTGACAATGATAACTATACAAGACCCACAAGGGTGTACCATTATTATGGATAAAGCCTCTCTCTCTCTCTCTCAAACTTCAACAGCTAATTCTAACTTGCTTGATCCCCCCTATGATTATGGTATATACCGGACAGCAGTTTAATCCACCAGCCATCAGTTTGTAGGTGCAGCACCCAGGACCCATATGCTCAAAACCCAAATGCTGGTGTTTTCAGCAATGAGGAGGACCAGATTGCTGGGTTCTTATTTCTAAGACTCTTTAACACGTTCGCAATGAACGCTAATTAGAAAGCAGTCGAGAGTCGAGAAGCAATTCAAAAATGCAGTTGCTCCGACGCAAGACTGCCAATAAAAAGAAGGGCCCTAGAGGCCTTCAGCAAATAGTTTAGAGTCGACGTCATCGTGATTTCTCAATGCGTCTATGTGTGCATGTGTTTATTCCTAATTGACACCCATGTAGAATAAGATAAGATGATTAATTTAATTTCTATTTCACCTATTCGATAATCATAGTAAGCCAATAACGAGAGAATCAATCACGATCTACATATTTCCATCAAATTCAGAACCTGAGGACAAAGAAATTCTAATTGCACAAAAGCCACAAGCAGAAGGTAAAACAACAGGTCGAAATAAAAGCATAATATTGATGGATTCCTTTGTCAAATACAACAGATAATGAATACCACCGAAAGCAAGCTTGGGACAACATTAATCTTTAGAGGAGAAATGAAAAACAGAAAACAACAATACCATGGAGATAAAACCTTCTAAATCAGTGATCACTAGAGAAGCAGACTATATAAGCATCATTTGAATTCAAAAAAGAACAGTAAGATAATGCAGAGCAAGATCCAATGCCTAAAGCACAAAAATAATCTACTCGTTATCCGGCTTTGGTGCTTCCTTGATCTCCTCTGAACCATCATCCTGCATAAAAAATAATCGACACTCTTTAATCAATTCCAATAAAAGGGATGTAAGAGATCCATAAAGAACAGAACACACAAAGTTTACCTGCATGTCTGAAGTCCATAAAGTGAGGTTATCACGGAGAAGCTGCATTATTAAAGTGCTATCTTTGTACGACTCCTCCCCAAGAGTGTCCAACTCCGCAATCGCCTCATCAAAAGCCTTAAGACAGTGCAAGAAGCAAACATTAGCCAAGACTTGTATTGTTACTGTCAACTAACAGAAACCCATTAAATTTAATAACTAGACCAGTCATAGAGATGCCCAATTATTTAAATAAGATCTTTACTCGTTTCTGCACTGATATTTAGGCCAGGCATCTTACTACATGATACTTAGAGGGATTCGAGATAGCAAGTTTGATTTCTTGCAAACCTGTTTAGCAAGATTACAAGCAAGTTCAGGAGAATTCAGAATCTCGTAGTAAAACACCGAGAAGTTGAGTGCCAGCCCAAGCCGGATTGGATGTGTTGGAGCCAGCTCAGCATTTGCAATATCCTGCAAATAACAAAATAAATTTAATTAGCAAATAAGTTCACAAACCAACACATAAATTTAAGGTTAGCGTCTACGTTTATTCAACTAATGCAGGGAAATCATCAATAATTAATAAATGCTTTTCATAAAAATGAACTGAACTCTACTGACCATGCTTATATCCTCTAAAGCATAGTAAAATTAAATAAAATGAAGTTCTTCGTTACATTTGCATTAAAATGCTCCATGATGTTCTCAAACACATACGCCATAGACATACATTTCAACCCTATCTCTCGTCCCCTATTACATTGTGTGCAACCAAAAGTTCAAAGTAGCTTTCATAGATCGAACAAAATGGAGAAAAATAATACATATTTCCTCTTTTATATGTCACAACTGACAAGAATATTTCGATTTTTCAAACTTGCTAAGCTTTAAACTCCAGATCATTAAATAAAGAGATCATAAAACCTAAATCATCTGCTCCAATAACTTCTCATATTTATCATGTACCGTCAAAATGAAGTAAAATATAACGGATTACTAGAAAATTTTTTTTTGGGGGGGGGGGGGGGGGGGCGGGCGCAATCTGTAGCCTTTAATAGTGGATACATGACCTTCGTTGCCACGGCTCTCCTCTTTTTGCTCGATTGATGATATGATCCTCCAGGAGGCACGACGGGCGCCGATCACGTTCTTGTATGCTACCGAGAGGAGGTTGCGCTCCTCCACCGTCAGCTCGTCGCCGTCCACAGCGGTCACCACCTTCTCCATGTACTCCACCATCTCTTCGTACCGCTCGGCTTGCTCCGCCAGCTTCGCCATGTACACGTTCTCCTCGCGGTTGGAAGCCATTGGATTCAATGACAAAGAGCGACTTTAGAGAGAAATGATACTTTTTAGAGGGAGAATTTGTGTGTGTTGACGAAAGAGCGGTTTTTGGTTCTATTAATATGAATAATGCCCCGTTCAAAAAGAAAGTGGGTAAATTTATTTATTTTTTATTTGATTTAGTAAATTTTGATCTTATGTACACAACTATTATGATATGCTGCCTTGTGAGTTACATTATTTTTTTTAAAATAAATTTTTAAATAGTATGTTTATGAAAAATGTATAATTACAAAATAAAAAAAGTTTTAAATTTATATGTAATATTATTTTATTGAAAAATGCGTGATTAAAATGATGTCAAATCATTGTTTAATAATGTATTTTTTTGAAAAAATGTGGCTCAAATAAGAACATACTCCCGATTTGATAGGGATTAAAATAAAGTCAAATTAGCAATTAATTTTAATCACATATTTTATAGATCACATAACTTTTCAATCATACATTTATCAAATTTTATCAAAATTTAATTTTAATCTCCCTCCAAATAAGGTATTATTTATTTGTTTTCATTTCTACGCTAAGTCAATAACATGGATTAGGGGTGGATCAAATTCCCGAATCAAATGGGATCCAATCGAACAGTTTGAATCAATTCTTATTAGGGCTATCAATGTTAGAATTGAAAATCAATTGATTTGAATCGATTCTAGACTCGAAATCGAACCATTCTATTTTTTAATAATTGAACCTCTATACTTAGTCGTTGCGACTGCACACTTACACGAAAAAACTCTCTAACTGAAATCGACTATAAGTGTATGTGTTATTAGTCAGGTTCACCATATATGACATATCATGTGTACATTTTACGGAGAAGCGCAATTTATCTAGTGGCTCCACATTCAACCTTCTCGCAACATCTACAGCCTTGAAGAGTTTATCCTCCCGAGTAAGAGCTAACACATTCGTGAAACTCTGTTATTTCATACGGTAGTCGTGAAATCACTATTGCAACTTGTTATGAATGTTTTCAATAATCGCGAGGATTTGTAACTCTTAATCCTTCTTGATTAATGCATTGAGAGATTTCCGCATTTGTATGACGTTGTCATTTTATATAGATGTCCAAGAAAATGTGATGTGCCAATGTTCGATCCCCATTTTTCTTAGATAATCCAATGTTGATAATGATTTACTTTTTATTTCAACCATTAACTTATTACACTTTTCAAAATTGTAAACTTCTACCGTTCTTCTAAACAATAAAAATATGTCGTTGTCCCGATATCTAGTCTTCAGGTTGCCTTGTTTATGATACATACAATACGCATGATGTGGTACCATTGACTAGAATTATCGCATTTTGAAATCTCAAATGCATTATCCAAGAGTCACGAAGAAAAGTTTGAAGCAAATCTCTGTTTCAATAAAAATGTCGAGTCATGATTAATTATCCCCATGTTATGACAATACCTGGTCAATTTAGCCTAACTCTCTTCGATCGAGCCCATTAAATCTCCAATGCGTATACTTAGGCCTTTTAATAGTTTACGACCACTCCGTACTATCAACAAATGTCATTAATGATGTCCGAATGTTTGTAGATCATACGTACGTCTTGATACTTGTGCATTATATGTCTACCAGTAAACCATGCTTTGGGTTGCCTGTAATCATTTTGACGAATCCCCATTCTTCAAGTATATTTTCGTGTATACTTGTGACTATAAATAAGTTGATCGTGTCCATCTTTGTCACTCGTAATGCCAACGACAACTGTTGTTGACGTAGACAATTGTCAATAATGACTTGTTTGATTTCTTTATTTTGAACTCGAAGTTGTATTTTAATAACATCCGATACACAACTTCCTACAAATCTTTCTTTGTTCAAACAGGAGTTCAACATGTAAATCTTCATCATCGAAAATACACGCAAAGAATTAAATGACGGGATCTAGCCCTCAAGCTCCCACCTCGTTCATGTTTCTGATGGGATAAAGCAATTAAATCGTCATTGTAAATTCATTTCCATTATCATTGTTGTAAACTATCGCGGGAATTCTATGCGCGACAGCGAGATCACGATGAGAAACAACTGTTTCGAGAATAACCATATCATTCTCGTGAGTTATCTCAACTGTATCCTAAAAATCAATGGATTCATTCGAATCTTCGTATTCACTTTCGATGACTAAATCATGCAAAGAGGAGTCACGTACCTTTTGTTCAATTCAAATTGATAAATCACTTCAGCATCCGAAAGTAAACTTCATAGGTGGAATCGGAATTGATGAATGCTTGTTAAATTGAAATTTCAGTTCCATATTTTACTAAGGGCGATCAGTTTTTAGCTTGTTTTGTAAATCATGGTAAATATTCAGCATATGATGTACTCGATGTTATGAAAATTGGAATACCACCAAATATATCACTCATCCAATTCCATATCTATCGATCTTTTTCATCAATTCGAAATCATCGAAGTAACAAATCGGGATTATGTCAATATTTGCATGACAAAACAAAATTTTTAATTATAATAAAAAATAGTCGAAAAATTGGTCCAACCACCGGATAATTTTTAATTAAAAAAGTCGGACCAGCTATTAACAGTCAGCTAAGACTAGTTGGCCCAGTCGTTGCCTAAGGCTGTTAATAGCTAGCTATTAAGGCTAGCCAGAATGTACATTGCCATGAATCTCGTCTGTAATAATATACATGCAGATTAGTTTTTTCTTATTTATGCATAAAAAAATTATAAACATATAAAAAATTTTATCTACACGTTAATCTTTGTCGAAATATGATTTATCTATTAAAAAGTATAATAATTTAACTAAAACGAAATTACACATACGTAAATATACTTATCCATTCGAAGTGATAGATATAAAAAAATATATTTTTTAGCGTTTAATAAATTTTTGAGATTTTGATGTTGAAGCAGATAAAAAATGAGAGAGTTTTTATCTGTGTTGAAATAAACAGATAAGAAAAGCTAGTTAATTTTAAAATTTTAAGTGGGAAGTGTTTGATTTTTTTACTTGTTAACTAAAATTGTCCTATTGTCTTTTAAACAGAATAATATTTTGAAATTGTATAATATATATATATATATATATCTTTGTCTTTTAACATCCAAAAAGTCATTGTCAAAAATTCAAAGTGAAAATTAAGGGATTTAACTAAGCCAATTTTAGTAAGGAAAATTTTCATATACAAGAGATTAAATATAGGGCATTTCAAAAATAAGAAAACAAGTATCATATTTCACCAATCAGATATTAGCCTAAAAATAAATACAAATATTAGTTTAAATAAAAATGAAAAACAATCCTGAACAATTAGCCTGAGATACCGTACCAGCAGGATTATCCATAAAAAGAAGAAATCATCTCTCAAGTTGATTCCAATATCCAGAAGATCTGAAAATACATCCAAATTACCACCGGCTCTCGCGGAAGTGACGGTAAAATCGAATTCTGATCACAAATTGCAGTCGCTAGGTCGTATTACGTCGGATTAAAACACGGTCCCTCGAACAGTCACTGATTACATTCATCAGGTGTGTAATTACGATTTATTCATTATAATTTGTTGTTTATTCATGCTAGACAATCTTCGATTGATGAAAAATGTAATTTTTGACGGAACCGTGATCATGAATATCGTACATTGCTGTTCAAAACTGTTGTGACCGTTATGAAAAACATGTGATCGGTTATTCATAAGATATGACCTCATGCAGTCAGTACGCATGGGTGTTTGTGTCTCAGAATTTGTGACCTGTGACATACTGCATCTGTATCATGTGATATTAATGCTCTTTTTTGAATCTAATCATATGCGACAGATCTACACTTACTTACCATGAATGATTATTGCATGTAATTGTGATTTAATACGCACATGTGACTTGCATGTATTCAATATGTGACCATGACATTCAAGATACGACATGCGTTTGCTGTAACCTGTGATCATTTAACAGAATTGTGACCGATATGCAATTAACTGTGACCAATATACAAAAACTTATGGCCATTCTTCAATGGCATGTGACCAATATGCAATGACCTGTGACCTCTCGTAAAAAAATCTGGAAAATAAAAATATGTGACTTGCACGTATTCAATACGTGACAATGATACTTTGAAATTCGACATATGTTTGTTGTGACATTTGATCATTTAACATAATTTTGACCCATATGTAATTAGATGTAACTATAATTGGATGTTTGACTGATCATGTTTTTGCTCATTTTGCAGAAATGGGGTTAATTCACGTATGTCTGATGAATGGATCACAAATGTCACTGGTGTTAATTGATTGTAGTTGCGGGTATTTGAGGCTTGTCAACACAGTTATGAAAGAGTTTACCTTCGACCCTACAAAAGTTGCTGTGATAATGAAGTATGTCTTGAATAGTGATCTGCCTCCTATAGCAATCAAAAGTGACGATAATATCTTGTCTTACATGGTTTTGAAGGATATGAATTGTGACCCTACCAAAAATCCAATTCACATCGAGGTCACAACTGCAGATATCGAAAAATAGCCTATTGCGCTATCAGCTGATGTTCAATCGAACGAACATGAATTTTCATTAACAGATATGTCATCAGATATATGTGGAGCAATAATGGATCCATCTAGTGACAAGCTTGAGCATGAGGTCACAGTTGTGGCGGTGGCAGATGCTAGAGAGGTAGAGGAAGGAAGAGTTTTCCGTAACAAGGAGATAATGAAATTGAGTTTGTCGTTTTATGCAATCCAAAAAACATTTGAGTACGTGGTTGTTCGGTCCGATTAGAAAGACTATCTTGTGAAATGTTCATGTGATGAGTGTAATTGGACATGTAGAGCATCGAAGTTAGCCAGAACATATATGTTTAAAATCAGACACATTGCAGAAGGTCGCACATGTGCTTCAAACATCGTACTCAGTACTCATATGCAAGTAATAGAGACAGTCATGTCAACCTGCATTAAGTACAAGTACACATCATCGCGTACCATATACACACCGAACGATATACGCAACGACATGCTGCATACATATGGAGTATCTTTGAATTATGTCAAAGCTTGGCGATCTCGAGAGGAAACTCTGAAAGTGCTAAGGGGTGATCCAACTGATTTATTCAATAATATACTAGCCATTTTTTCTGTGCTACAACAAACAAATCATGTGATCGCAAGTCTAGAAATTGATGGTCACAATAGGTTTAAATATTGCTTCATGGCACTAGGTGCATCTATACGGGGATGGAAACATTGTAGGCCAGTTGTTGTGGTTGATGACACATATCTAAATGGACACTATGGTGGCACCTTATTCGCGGCATGTACACAAGATGCAAATAACAACATTTATGTACTTACTTTTGGGATTGGGGATAACGAGAATGACAACTCATGGACATGATTTTTTAGACAGTTGAGGAAAGCATATGGGGATAGAGACGGTTTGTACTTTGTGTCGGATCGTCACAACAGCATCAAAAAGGCAATTGAAAACGTGTATCCAAGAACATATCACGGGATATGTTCGTACCATCTACTACAAAATTTAAAATCACGGTACGGGAGATCAGGACAAAACATAACACAAGCATTCAATGCAGCTGTTCGTGCCTACATACTGTTGGAATATGAATATTACATGCAACAACTCGGCTCGATTAATGAGAAGATAAGGGGTTACCTGGTACTATACTATACGTTGTCCTATGATGATATTCACATAAATACGTTTGACATGATACTATACACTATATGATACACATTTCCATAGTTTTGTTTATAAGACGAAGTTCGACCTGAAAGATGGTCACGTTTCCACATGCCTTCAAACCGGTATTCCACAATGACATCGAATATTGTGGAGTCGATTAATGCGGTCACAAAGTCTGCCAAGAACTACCCTATTATAGCTTTGTTGGAGTCATTGAAATAAATTCTACAATTTTGGTTCTGTAGACACAATGAGCACGCTCAAGGCACTTTTACAATCTTGTCAAGCAAGTATGAGAAGAAGATAAGGGAAGTGAGCACAAATATGAGAAACTTGAGGGTAAAGTTAAATACTGTGACCTAATCTATAATATGTGACTTACTTGAATTGATCTGCGACATGTGCTGTGACTTCTGTTGTGATCTGTACCGTTGTGTTTCAGTAATCTTTTTGCAATATTATATATAACTATGTGACATGCAATTTCATCTGTGTTCTACTTTTTCATTATGTGACTTATTATGTCTATAACTTGAATCTATATCTATAGGTCTCCTATACTAATCAGGCAATATTCTCAGTTAGCAGCGAAAGTTCCTCTTTTGTTGGTATAGAAAACTGGACATGCACATGTATGATGCTTCAAGTTGATCAACTACCTTGTCCACATGCTTTGGCTGTGTTTGCGAGCATGAAGATGGATCCATATGAATATTGTTCCTACTACTACACAAGTAAAGCATTCAGAAATACATACCAAGAAACCATTTGTCCTGTAGGAAATCCAGCTGAATGGATAGTGCCAAATGATGTTTATGACATAGTTGTAATTGCACCTAATCAAAAGCGAAGTTGTGGAAGGCTTACTAAGAAGAAATTCAGACCAGTGTATGAGGAAAACATAACCGTCAAATGCAGTCGGTGTGGTGAAAGTGGTCACAATCGCAGAACACGCAACAGTTTAGTTCCATTAAGTTAAAGCAACAAGAATAAAGAGAGGAAGATGACGAAGACTGGAAATACACATTGATATATTTTTTATAATTCCCTCGTTTTTTCATTCATTGATTTTTTGTAAATGTAGGATGCACAACATTGGATGATACATATTGACCATATCATAACCAATATAATGCTAAAAATTTTTGTAATGCACTTTGGATGTACGGCAGGAATGTGTGACCACTAGCACGTATGAGAAACTCAACGAATGTATCACACATGAAAATCTGTAGGAAAAATTGTTATACAATGGTCATGCAGTGAACTGTGATCAATATGAAATGATATGAAATGATCTGTGATCATTTTTCAATAACACGTGACTAGTATGCAGTAACTGTGATCATTATTAATGACATGTGATCAGAATGCAGTAACTTGTGACCAATATATAATGATCTGTGATCAGAATGTAGTGACCTGTGACCCCTGTGCAATCAACTGTGAATATATGACATGATCTGTGACTAGACGTCAATGAACTGTGACCAATATGTAATGACCTGTGACCATTTATCAATACATGTGACCAGGATGAAGGGACATATGATCAATATCCAATGACATGTGACAAATATGCTCTATACTATGACCAACAAAAGATGACCAGTGACCAATTGTAAAGACTCAGGAAAATAGGAGTGGTTCAATTGCAATTAATTGTGACAAAAGTATGAAATGATCTGTGACCAATCTTCAATGACCTGTGACCAGATTGGATTGACTTGTAATAATTCTTCATGACCTATGAACAGGATACAGTGACCTGTGACCAGGATACAGTGACATGTGACAATGAGAATTGACATGTGACCAATTTACAATAACCAGTGACATGTGAACTACAGATAATCCTAAAAACAGGTGACATGTGATAATCCTAAAAACTACAGATAACCAGTGACCAGTGACCTGTGAACTGCAGATAATCTATGACCAATCTTTAATGACCTGTGACCAGATTGGATTGACTTGTGATAATTCTTCATGACCTGTGAACAGAACACAGTTACCTGTGACCAATATACAACGACCCGTGACCAATATACAATGACCCGTGACAATGAGAATTGACCTGTGACCAATTTACAATAATCAGTAACCTGTGAACTGCAGATAATCCTAAAAATTGGAGTGGGTCAATTCCAATGTCGGTCAATCGATAAACATGTCTACCACCTGTGCTAATAACATGACACAATGGCAAAAGTTTGTGCATTAAATTTTGAGACTTTATCCTCGATACATCATCAATCTTGCAAAAAATGATATACAGTGAAACTTCTGAAAAACAATGTAATAAAGTAAGAACTGCGTTGTCATTACAAACGAATATCCAAACACGAGACAATGTTTCCATCTATTACAACTTGTGACTGCTAATTGCACTATCACTCTAAAACAATGCTTTCCCCATCAGTTGGCTGTACCGTCTTTCTAGTCTTCTCGATTTCGCTACATCCAACCGAGCTCTCCCCGCATCGAACTTCATGGGCATGGATCATATATTGTCATGCAGTATGTTCTTCGCATACTTGACCACGTATATGCCACAATCATGTCTAGAAATGTAAATATCAGTCTGTTAGCTATGAAATCCAGCATGTTATAATATGTTTAACTGTAAGTGGAGGTAAAAAATCTACCCATTTTTCTGTTGGGAAAGAGAGAAATCAAGATCCACATTCAACTCCATAGAATCTTTTTTCCGTATTCCAACACATTTCATGAGATGCGAAAGCGTGCTGACAAAATGTTCAATTCCAATACAGACTTTGATATCATTGTATGTCTTCTTGGACGAATTTTATAAACGCAACATATGTGCCTTTATGTCCAACACTCCAAGCATCTAATGTGCTTTGTTGGTAGGCAGAAGTGGGATAAACACAAGGTTGACTTCAGCCCATCGAGTGTTCAATGGAATTCGTGCACCGATAATGTCGTCAATCAGTCTATCATCAGTCACAACAACATTTGCATCATCCTTGAACCCAGGATACATGTGCTTGAGCTTGGCCTGGAACAACGAGTCCGTTGTGGTAGCTACGAACTTGAGATATCTCGCACTTCTTGCCACTTGACGTATGTAGTAGAAGTACACGTCCATATGCTATAGAGATGCAAGTACAATAAACAATTAAGAAATCATATATACACAGAAACATGATGTAATAAGCTGTTACTGTGATGTGTGACTCGGTTAGAATGTGTGACTAATACAACCTGTAATTAGTGACCATTCAATAACTGATCTGTAACGTAATAAATACATGTGAGCTATACTGTTGCACCTGCAGATATGTGTTTTTCTGTGCAACACGGATTGTGACCTACTGTTCGTATGATTTGTGACCCATACATCATCTGTGACCTACTGTTCGTGTGATCTGTGATCCTTGCATCATCTGTGACCTACTGCTCGTGTGATCTATGACCTATGCATCATCTGTGACCTACTGCATGAGTGGGTTGTTAGACAGTACAGATGTAACTTGTGACTTTCACTGAAGGACATGTACAACATTGCATTTGTGTGGACTCTGTGTGACTATTATACAATGACCTGTGACTAATGTGACCTGTACTGTGACATGCCCTTTAGAACTGTTACTTTTGTGTAGTAACTTACCGAACTAGTCAACGACACCCCCCTGGATACAAGTTCATACCACAATGTCTTGTTTCCCACCAAGTACCGATCGATGGAAAAAGGTGGGTGGATGACATCATCTTTATCATCGAACTTCTTCCTGCGAACGAGAAGTATGGATCATTATTTGGAAAATTATGAAAATAGGACAACAATTTCGTACTTGTTATGCGGTTTGTATCCTCTTTGAAACCAATTTTGAAAGTTAGCAACATCTGCATCGTGTACATTCTGATTGTAGTGTTCGAAGACCACTACGTTTCTTGACGATTTTATTTGTTTCACTTCGTCGACAACATAAGGGGACTGAAGTGCTTTAGCTGGCTTTGGAGCCCTCTTCACCGGCAATCCAGAACTTGGTGCGACCTCAGGTGAGTGCTGCATGATAAAATGTGTTTTTTAATACGTGACATACAGTAATCAACAAATACATAGATTTTTTGATACCTCTTGCTCAATACATTCCGCGTCCTTCAAAACATTGGATATGACCGAGTCCACTTGCACTTTAACTTCCTTAGATGTTTTTGCAACAAACTGGCTTGGTTGTGTAAATCCAAGACCGAGATCAAAAGATGGAGGTTCAATGAAACATGGAAATTCAACTGCACACACAGAGTCAATCTTCGCTTTGCCTTTCGAATCAACACTTTTTTTTGACTTTTGCAGCTTGAAAATCAGAACAAAAATGCATTTGATGAGAATTGTATGTCAAACGGTTTGTGGTAACAGACAAATAAGAGTAAGTCATAGTTGGGGTACTGACTTCGCTTGTTGGTCTAGATCCTCGAACAGTTTCTGGTCCTGAGTTCTCTTTGAATTTGTTCATAATTTCTTCCATTGAACTAGATATCAATGTAGTCACAGAATCAGACATACACTGCATGTGTGATTTGATGTCCAACATGTCGGTACGGATTTCACCTTGCATGCGAACAAGCAGCTTCAGTTTCTTTTGCTGATCAGACTTCAAAGATGACACATGTGACTACATTGCCTGAAGCTATTTGCTTAGCAACCGATTCTCATACTGGAGATCAGATATCTATCCTTTGAAATAATTCTTCAATTCGTCGACCACTTGCATCACATGAATACCTATAATCAGGTAACTTATGATGATGAAATATATCATTGATCTGTGATCAGCAGTGAAATGTGTATTGATATGTGACCTAATAACTGAAACCCGTGACCTGAGAATTTTTATGTGACCCGAATATCATTAACACTAAATGGACTTGTGACATGATAGATGAAATTGGAAGAGCTTACATTTTTTGACGGCATATCCTCTGAATCAGTAGTATCATCTGATTTACGCTCCCCATTTGGAGAATCTTCATGGATTGATGTCCCCTTCCAGTTGGGTGGTGGGTCAACAAAGTCATCATCATCAATGGGGAGATCAGAGTGTCCTAGTCATCCATCAGTTATCAGAAGCATGGGAATAGATTGTTTCATTCCCGAATTACTTGGTTTTGTACTAGTCTCAGCACGATGAACGATCAGTCTATGTTACCACCCTTTCTCTTCTCCCCATGTGACCAATCGGGTGGGACAGGTTTCTCATACCGCACCTCTGTCATGTATGACATTGCCATTTCAGCTGGTGGGGGTTTAAGTCACATATTTCTAATTGCCATTCATATCACAATAAAAGGTGCAATGTCAGCAACCAAAAATTATGTATGAACGAACAGATATAATTTTGCACATCACACATATTTAATATGTTTCCATGGATTGTGATATAAAAAGTGAAAATGGCGCCGTGAAAATGTCTGTGACCTATATTGAAAACGTGTGACATAATGAATAAAATCTGTGACTTCGTGAATGCAATTTGTGATTTGACGAAATATATTTGTGACCTAAGAAATATGATTTGGAACATGAAAAATGTGCAAGTTTAATATTTCGAAACCAATAATGTTGCATTAGTGGTTACTTACGTCCGGATTGGATAAGCATTCAGGCCCCTCCAGCTTCACAGCCGAAGGGTAATCATTAGCCGCCCAGTTCATTATCCGGGGGCACACTCTAGAAATCCTTCTCGCTATGTATCCATCGAGACTGCGAATTATCTCGTAAATCCACACTTGAAAGGCTACGAGCAAGCCTCTGAGTCTGTAATGTGTTGATCTCTTACTCAATCCCTCCCTCAATGAATTTACTAGCATGTTAAACAGCGACTTACCCCATGGAAACACATTCATCGCACTAAAATCTTCATAAGAAGTGATCCACAGCCTTCTTGTAGTCTCTCAGATGTAGATAAGACGTTATGAAATACAATACATCTAGCATGGAAACATCCTCATGAATGTCAGTAGAACCAAGAAATGCGTCCTTGATGTTTCCATGAGTAACATTTTTCAACGTTGAAAAATACAATTTTTTTAATCGTAATGGAGTCTTCTCCATCCTACTTATGTCAGCATCGCCGACATATCTCAGACCAGTCACCAAACAAAACTCTGAAATTGAGAACATTACAAATCTTTCAGCTATGTTGAACCACAACTCACTGTCATTAGGTTGTTGCACTTGTCTCAGCAGAAAGTAGTATATCAACTGAGATTGGATAATAATTTCTCGCATTCCAGGAAGTGTGAGAAACACGTATTCTGAAGGATTCGACGTTGGACCTCATTGAGATCGTTTTTGAAGTTTGACACCACACCTTTGATGGAGGTAATTGTAATTTTACCCGGAAACCAACTCTTCTCGGGTATAATGTATCTCCAGGCCTGCAACATCGGTCACAATAAAACTCATCAGTTTGGTCACATGTGAGAATCCAGGTAGACACAACATCAACATATAGGTCACAGGTCCCCTCCATCAAAAAAGAAATCAACAACACATATTTTGAAAAAAACATTAAAAACCCTTTCTACAATCCGGCATTTCGATTACAAATCCACACAACAAATTCAATACAATATACATCACAAATTCAAAATACTTCATCCGTACACATTACCCATCGATTAAAATGAACATAGGTATGCTCGAAATAAGTGAACAATTGAAAAATATCAAAAACACCTTCTTCGTGGACTGTTTTGCGATCGAACTTTCAGATTTGTGTCTTTTAGAGGATGAATCCTTCTGCACTTCATCCACCTTCCTTTTATCTCTTCTTCCTGACTCGTGGATTCCAATTTTCTCCACACGTTTCTCACTCCTTGAACGAGTCATCCTTGAAATTTTAGAATACTGTGATTCAATTATGACCACTTCTTTTTGTGAAGGAACGTATAAAATATGTGACACGATAGTGGAAGAAGGTCGTCGGGGAATCGTCTGAGAACGAACAGGGATGAACGTCTGAATGTGGCTTGGATGAAAGACGATTTAATCGTAAAATATGGATATGTGAGGGACGTGGGTTTTATGAAAATGATGTGTAGGATGTTTTAATGAATATAGAGTTTCCAAAATTTGAAATACGTGACTTTAGGGAAGACAGTTATTAAATAATTTTAAAATAATTAATAAATAAAAAAATATGATTAGTGAAATATTAAACTTTCACTCTGATTTGGGAATTATGAATAGATAAACTATGATTTTATGTAATTTCCACTTTTAGTAATACATTAAATAGGACATCGACTTGAACCCGGCCCGTTTCTTGAAGTTATGATTCAAATAGCATGATGCACATTCCAGCCCAAAGGCAGATTGTGTTCTTTTAAACTTGAAACAAAACCCTGAATGGGCCGCACTCTGGACCACTATATATATATATTGTCTGAAGCAACGCTCGAAACCCTAGTTGCGAAAGAGAGGTTGAGAGCGTTACCAGTATTTTCTCTCGTATCTTCGCGGCCTCTGTGTTCTCTGCAACATGAAGGTCTCTCCCTCACCCAGACATACTCACACTCAGTTATACAATTAACACAATGTAATTTCGTTTGGAATCTTATTTGTTTCGGATAATTGCTAAATATTTTTTGTTTTTTGTTTTTGGGTTTTTAGTTCAACATCGCAAATCCGACAACCGGGTGCCAGAAGAAGCTCGAGATCGACGATGACCAGAAACTGTATGATTCCCGTGTTTATCTTCTATTGCCTTTTCTTTATTGTATTGCTTAAAGTAATTTCCATTTGTAACCCAATTTGTTTTAATTTAGATACTGTGAAGTATATTGTTAATCTATCGTATGTCATTGTTATAAATGTTGTTACTAACATATAGGTTTGTTTCTCTATGTATATAAATCTTAATGTTGTAGGTCTAATTTTAGGAAAGTGTTACACGTACATAGTGTCTATAGTTACACGTGGCACTGGATTCAACATTTAATTCAAATCTCACACTTGCACATCAACAACCAAATGATTCTCATATCACGGAGACTATTATTCTCAATAATTATGTACAAGTAGAGTTTTTCTTAATTTTATATTAGGTGAAATAGAGTTACAGAGCAATCAAAAATCAGAATTATGAAGAGAAATCCTCTTGAATCTGTAGTGGTTTTGTGTGCTTGTTTATTGCAGTATCTTTTAGGCCCTGTTCGATGGCCATTATTTGGCAACAACGAAGTGTTGAATACTCCATTGGTTACAAGTGGAGAAAAGTTTTGGGTGTACATATGAAATATTATATTGTGTGAATGTGTAGTTGAAAATGAGTATGTAGAAGAAAATGTTTTCAAATAAATTACATCAAACAGGCGCTTAGAAATGAATGCCTGTAAATCAAGATTATAAATTTTTAGTCTTGAGTATGATTGGAACCAAGTCTTGAGTAAACTGTTCATGCCAGCTTATTTATAACCCTTTTGGTTTGGATCCTTTTATCAAACATTCTTTTGTGTTATAATTTTTTCTTTGCGAGTTTTCCAATTCAAGTTGCTTGCACGAACCTTTATGAATTAGAATATGTACAGTTTCTCATTAATGATACTTGCAGCCGGGTATTCTGGGACAAGAGGATCTCACAGGAAGTAAGTGGAGATGCTTTGGGTGAGGTATGACACAGTAATTTTACTTTTTTTGTTCTGGTGTGGCTTTAACACAATGATGATGATATCCATATTAAGATGGAAATAACCAAATAATGTGCAGGAGTTCAAGGGCTATGTATTCAAGATTATGGGTGGTTGTGACAAACAAGGTTTCCCAATGAAGCAGGGAGTTTTGACTCCGGGTCGTGTTCGTCTTTTGCTGCATCGAGGTATGTGGAACGATGATTTAGTTTGCCCTATTTGATGGTTAAGTTAATGGATTTTTGTGTTTGAAGTAACATTTTTCTCAACAGGAACCCCTTGTTTCCGAGGGTACGGTAGGAGAAATGGAGAGCGTAGAAGGAAGTCTGTTCGTGGATGCATTGTTAGCCCTGATCTCTCCGTTCTAAACTTGGTTATTGTGAAAAAGGGTGATAATGATCTGCCTGGACTAACTGATGTTGAGAAACCAAGGATGAGAGGCCCAAAAAGGGCATCAAAGATCCGTAAACTCTTCAACCTTTCCAAGGAAGATGATGTTAGGAAATATGTCAACACATACCGTCGGACTTTCACAACCAAAAATGGTGAGTATAGATGCGGAGACGAGATTAAATTAGAAAGCTATTTTCTTACGGGATGTTATTATTGTTGGAATTTTGAATTTCAGTTGTATATTGTTATGGAATATTCACAATCTTATGTTAACCTGAAGCTATTATATGATCACAGGCAAGAATGTGAGCAAAGCTCCTAAGATTCAGAGGCTGGTGACTCCCTTGACCTTGCAGAGGAAGAGAGCCAGAATTTCCGATAAGAAGAAGAGGATTGCCAAGGCCAAGTCAGAAGCTGCTGAGTACCAAAAGCTTCTTGCTTCTAGATTGAAGGAACAGAGGGAGAAGCGTAGTGAGAGCTTGGCCAAGAAGAGATCTAGACTATCTGCAGCCTCTAAGCCGTCTATTGCTGCCTGAGTTTTCTATGAATGAATTTTTAATCTATCATTTTATCGGTAATTTTTGCTGTTCTTCAGATAAGGAGTTCGTAATTGTTATACTATTTGCTGCTTACAGAGATGCTGAGATTTTGTTTCATTGATGATGTCCGTTCACTCTATGATTAGGATGCTGTTTATTTCACTTGCAGACTGATACTGTATGGGTTTCTGTTGTTGAGTGGCGTTATTGAAGTTATAGTTGGATAATATTCCTGTCTTTATACAGTTGCTGTTAATAACTTTATTACCTGTCACTTGAGTTTATTCGTATTCTACTTGCACGCCTAACCTGTTGGGAAATACACACTAATAAAAAACTTGACCTGGCATTTATTTTGGAAATTGTTAGTGTGTTATTTTGAATGTCTTGCCTCTCAGAAAGATCGGACTTTACCAAATGAGGCTTAGCACTTGGCAGTAAAGTGAAACTTTAAGATGAAGTCAAGTTTGGTTGGAAACAAGGATTTTTTCCACATCTCTAATGCTCCTTTCTATGAACTGTTTTTTCCCTCTGTAGGTCTTTGGGGGCACTGCTATAGGTCAAATCCATTCCTGTCCTGTCCTACAATGGTAGACAAATACATTGGGCTGAAAATTTGAAAATTTTTGGAACCCAATTATCTAGCTAGCTACAACTCATCTCTGGAAAATCCATGGACCAACCCCATCATGTCCACCCTGTAGGAACTAAGAGATCACCCCAAGGGCGCCTTTGAGTTTCGTGCCATATGGTTATGATTATGTTAAATTTCACACCATTACTTAAAATTGGATCTCATTTTTATGACATTATAGCTTCAATAACTTATAATTTTACTTGGACAAGCACTTGAAATTGGTTGTTGTGAACATTGATTCTTCAAAAGCAAGGTTATAAAATGCGTAATAATGTGTTATACATAATCTTCAAATTTTCAAAAAAAGTATATTGTTCAAAATCATAAATACTGCAATTACTAGGTAATCAATGCCTACTGTTAGATTAGACACAAATATCAGCCTAAAATGTTAAATCTTGTCTAACTTCTTGTTGATTCCAATTTAATCTCATGTTGTTGAATTCAATTTAATCTCATCTTTTTCATTCAAGTCATCTTTTGTGTCATTCAATGCAAAATCATCTTTGTCTGACTTAATTATTTTTACTCAAGAAGTTCTTTCACCTCTTTTAGATGTTAAGATATCAATGTCAACATTCTTCTCAAAGTCACAATCATCGACAATCTAAAATTGCGCATTACTAGTAGTACTTGCTAGTAATTCTAGGGAAACATCGAAGAAGAATGAGGCTCAAACTCGATGTAGGTAATTTACAATTCTACGATTTTTTTCAATGTCAAAATCCTATTACTAAATATAATTTAGAGGCTCGGATAATTTGGACTATTTTGACGTTTATTGGGCTTAATTTAATTATTATTATTATTATTATTATTATTATTATTATTATTATTTTAAAGTTATAAAAATGGACTGAATTCTGCTAGACTAATGTTGACACAATTTCTAACACAATTGCTTGCGCATTTTTGATGTTTAATCTTGCATATGCGGTCAATGAAATGGGTTAACAGTATTATCACGCGCATACCTCATATACGAGGCGTTTTGAAAAAGTATAAAAAATATGTGAGGTCTATGTGAAATATATGTGAGTATTTTAGAACACCGTTTAAAAGATGTGTGAATTGTAACGACCTCATTAAATCTCTAGTTGTTAAATTGAAGCTTTGATTGTTGACTTGCCATGAAGCAAAATTTAATGGTGATTCTTGCTCGACGTGCTTGTGACACACCCACTCAAAGTCACCATTGCCTCGAGTGGAGCAATGCAAGAGGCAAAACTATTCACTTCGGTTCTTTCTCTACCTTTTTAGCATAGTTAACACGATTTTTCCACTTTAAAAAGCATCCAAGATATCCTTATTTGTGTTATTATAATTTGAAAAAAAATTACAATTTAAGTAGTAGATGATTTTCTAATCATCATACCTCGCGAGCAGATTAAGAATTCGCAGTGACAAAGTGTAGTCAACAAGATGCTAGGCTTCGATGCAAGAAAATACGCACGCATTGTGAGAGGCGGCAAGGAAAAGAAAGCTAATAAGCAACAGTGCCACCAATCTCTCCAATGTTTCTCCATATCAGGATTATAATTATTTCCTTCTTGCGGATATTTGGATAAATATGTATTAATACCAAAATTTGCCCAAAAATCAATAAATACTTCATATTTTCACTTTCTTTAATAAAAAAAAAAGAAAAAGAAAAAGAAAAAAAGAAGAAGGTTGAACCCCAACTTTTAGGGCCCCACCACCCCTAGAACTTTATGAGGGAGGTAAATCACGGGATGTGCCCCAACAGGTCAGGGAACAAGAGCTGTCTGTACACTGCGCTTACAAGCAGTCCAATTCCATGTCTCAAGAATTGAACCCCCACACTGCGGCTGCTAGTAAGGCGTGAGATAACCTCACTTCTATCCTTTGCACCACTAGGATATGCCCCGAGACTTATATTTTCACTTTCTCATTCTTATCAGGGCTTGTCCTAGACTAGTAACTATAATCTTTTTCCAGTTGAAGATATATGATTTCCATTAGTGTGATCCCCTCTTGGGACAAGGTTTTACTTAATACGGCATTATCCACATTTGTTCATTTCAAGGTTTTCACTTATTTCTTCACTTTTAAATAGCACTAAAACTTCTAAAATCTTCGTTGATTGTCGCACGTGTTCTCAACATTTTTTTTTTAATATTTAACTACAACATTATGTTAGTAACAATATTTGTGATGATAGTTTTAGTCCAAAATTTCCGTTAAGAGAATGTTAAAAATTTATCCGTCACTCATATTTTAAATAAAAAATACCAAACTTTCACACGACATTTGTTGCTACTTGCAATGCAAGTTAATAAAATATTTACACAATTTTATTTTATTTTTAACTAAAAACGAAAGATTAAAGATAAGGATGCGACAGAAAAATAGAGACATAAATGGAATACTTTTATTACAATTAAAAATAGGGGAATAAATGATGGTGGCAATATAATCAACCTAGACGTAAAGAAGATTAACAAAAATACCATTAAATCCAAAAGGATTTGCATAGAAATAATCAAAGTTTGTGGATCTAAATCTCAAAATAAAATTGATGAGAACTCAATTGTGAGATGTGGTAAAGTTTGAGGACTATATTCTTAAACAGTGATTTGACATAATTTCAATTACACATTTTCAATAAAATAATATTATAAGCAAATCCAAAACATTTCTTTATTTTTTAACCACACATTTCCCATCAATACACTATTTAAAAATACATTCTAAGAAAAATAATGTAGCTCAAATAAGTGCTAAATATGTAATTTTCTGCATTTATTTTAAATTTATATATATGTATTTAATACATATTTGGTAGTAATTTTTCAAATAAAAAATTAATTTTTTAATCGTTATTTCAATTGACATTTTTTGACATATTTATACACAGTGGAACCCACTTTTTCTAATCGAAAAATCAATTCTCATAATTATTCTCGGACTAGCCTTAATAAAGTCGCCTGAGGGAATATACTGGGCCACAGTATCGTGAAAAATATAGCCCAAATGCAATTTACCTAATTTTCACGTGATATGTCCATAAACAGTGAGTGACACACCGGAATCGAATTTCTGCAAAAGAAGACAGAGATGGAGGAGGAGGAGCACGAGGTGTACGGAGGAGAAATACCTGACGAAGTCGAGGATATCGACCCCCACAATGCCGATGTCGAGATGTCCACCGCCGATGACGACGCTGTCAAGGTACTCTCAATTGTGTTTGTATGTGTGCGCGCCCGCTCGCACTTGTGGGTGAGAGGATGGGTGGTTGGATGCCTATTTTATTTGATCATTTGGGTCTGAATGGATTTGGGAATTTATAGGAATTGGATTAGTAAATGTTTGTGTGTGTTAGAGTTGCCTATTGAACCTGATTATTTTGGTCCGTGTGAATTTGGGAATTTGTATGAACTGGATGAGTGTATATATGAGTGTATGTGTGGGTATGTGCCTGTGTGAATTGGATTAATTAGGTCTGAGTGGATGTGGGAATTTGTAGGAATTGGATGAGATGAAGAAGCGATTGAAGGAAATGGAAGAGGAAGCTGCTGCTCTTCGTGAAATGCAAGCTAAAGTTGAAAAGGAGATGGGTACTGTTCAAGGTCTTTTCCTCTTCATTTGCAATTTTCTAATTCTGTTTTTAACTTAAAATCTTGTTCTAAGGTTTCTAATTATAATGAGTGAGAGCATTATTTATATGATGGATATGGTTGCATTTTCATTTTTTAAATTTTATTTTTAATCTTGGCGGAGCTTTTTTTGCCTAGAAAGTGTTTTCAAATTTCAACAGATAAAGAAAATAGGAATTTGTAAAGATCTGGAGTAAAACAAATACAAGTGCACATATTGTATGTAGAAATAAATCAACTGCAAGAATGTCTGACTCTGTAATGGATGGTGGATCTCTTTATCATTTTTATTTAACCAAAATATATATGTCCAAGCCTGTTTTTCTGTAATTGAAGGCATATGTTAAATCTATTATTATTATTATCATTTCTATCGGTTCTTCAGATGCTATTGTTGTTATATTTGGATATTGTGTACTTGGAATTTGGAAGCCAAATACCTGCTTGATTAATGATCTGTTATTAGGAAACCGAGCAATAATAGGGGTCTCTTTCTTGGATTTCAGAATTTCCATTTTTCTATTTGGCCCTGGCCCACACTCTGCTCATACTTTTTTTGTGCTACAGGTTCATGCTACCAAGGTGGTAGGTTCAATTTTTGGAGACGCGACCTTGGTAGCATGAACCTGTGTGCTTAAAAAGCGGGAGCAGAGTGTGGGTCAGGGCCGAATAAACAAATGACTTCCAACCAAAAAAAAGAAAAGAAAAGAAGTTTTGGACCGTGAAACTGTAACTAAAAGCTTATTTCACATATTGTATGTAGAAATAAATCAACTGCAAGAATGTCTGACTCTGTAATGGATGGTGGATCTCTTTATCATTTTTATTTAACCAAAATATATATGTCCAAGCCTGTTTTTCTGTAATTGAAGGCATATGTTAAATCTATTATTATTATTATCATTTCTATCGGTTCTTCAGATGCTATTGTTGTTATATTTGGATATTGTGTACTTGGAATTTGGAAGCCAAATACCTGCTTGATTAATGATCTGTTATTAGGAAACCGAGCAATAATAGGGGTCTCTTTCTTGGATTTCAGAATTTCCATTTTTCTATTTGGCCCTGGCCCACACTCTGCTCATACTTTTTTTGTGCTACAGGTTCATGCTACCAAGGTGGTAGGTTCAATTTCTGGAGACGCGACCTTGGTAGCATGAACCTGTGTGCATAAAAAGCGGGAGCAGAGTGTGGGTTAGGGCCGAATAAACAAATGACTTCCAACCAAAAAAAAGAAAAGAAAAGAAGTTTTGGACCGTGAAACTGTAACTAAAAGCTTATTTGCATACTTTTTATACCTGAACCATCTCTGATAATAACTTTAGATGGTTGTGAGATTTTTTCTTAGCATGTCAAAGCTGGTAAACTACGAATTCATCATTTAAAGAGAGATGTAGGGCTAGCATGTGAAAAGCTGATCAATACCCTCCAACAAAGTTAACAAAAAAAAAAAGCGACTTACAGCGTTACCAAAAATTCATTTTTTTTGGTTACTTTACATGCGAAAAAGATCAAAATAAATTTTTTTAATAAATAATAACTGCGGCATTCATAAATTTAAAATAAACATAGTGATTGTGTTTGGAAAATAACAATAAACATGTCTTAAAATAAATAAACAAATAATTATGAAGACAGAAAAATTTATTTTCTGTTCCTACGATCCTTTTGGCAGCCCGCATTATTGCCTTTCCACAAATCCAATCGACTTGTTCTAACTTGTAAAATGTAATGTAAGAGTGAGTATTTAAAAATACCCAGTAAAATACGTGCAGTTTTCATATACAAATATATAACAATAAAAATTACACTTCATACCATCTATGTAGTACGGACACTCTAACTAGCGTAGCGTGTTCGTATCCGACACGTGTTGATACCGACACCCTTTGGACACTCTACAATAATCATTTTCCTTTTTTAATATAGCTATTATATATTTTTAACTCAAAGTTATTAGTAAATAACAAATAAGTACTCATATTTAAAAGATTTTAACAAAAAAAATCAATAATAAGTATAAAACTAAATTTAAATTATATAAATGAAGAATTTAATGAACGTGTCAACGAAGTGTCGTGTCGGTACTTTTTTGAAAAATCTCGAGTCATCCGTGTCGGTGCATCATAATGATACCACTTTGATCTTATGGAGTATATCGATGACCAAGCGACACATCCATTTTAGGTCCTCTTATAATCCCGTAAGATTTCATATCTCTTAAAAAACGAATGTCTACTGGCAATCCATGTATAATTAATTGAATATAAAAGCATAAGAAAACAAAACACTTGCACATAAAGTATCTTACCTCGTTATTTAAATAAATAAAAAAAGTATTTGAATGCACGTTCCAAAATTCCTTCCTCTACTCTGGTGAAAGATTATTGACTGTGATAGTTGATGCAAGAAACTTTCTAATTTCAATCTCTCTCTCTCTCTCTATCGTATGTGTGATAAGAATTGGTGTGTGTAAAATTTTTCATTATGCCGATATATATAGGTGTAGGCTAGAGTAGATAAACCAAAAATTTGATTTCAATGTCCATTCAAAATGTATTTTATTATTATCTTATTCAACTACAAGGAGTCTACTATCTCTATCCAACTGTATATGTGTGTATAGTGTATAACTTATCCCACTTTTGTAGCATTCCTAAAAGGTGAAAAGACTTCTCAAATTTATGAATTTTCTCAATGCTAAAACCAAGGCACAGCGCACACATGATCAATGATTCTTACACCCTTTTTTTTTTTTTTTTGAAAGAGAAAAAATGAATTGAATTATATTATAACTTATATAAAATTCTATTTTTCCTCTTTTCTTTAAATTGGGTCTAACTTAATTTGTTTTTATCCAAAATGACTTTTTCTCGAGTCAAAGACTTCTAATTAGACCTACAAAATGAGTTCAATATCGATATACTAGATCTCTATCTATCAAAATCTAATTATTTGGCCAAAAAAATAATAAATATAAAACTAAAGTTAAAGTATTCCACTTTAGTCCCTAAATTTTCGAAATATAAAAAATATAGCATATGAAATAAAATAATTTAATTTTTTTTTTCGGGGCTCTACACCACCACCTTCTCTAAATTTCTCATGTAGGAAGTTTTCATATAATATTCCTATCACAAACCATTCAAAAGGGAAACTGAAGATGATGGTCTTTCTGTCCGTCTCTCTCATTATGAGCGTGCCTGCGTAAATAAGTGTGTGAGAGGTAGATGGGAGGCTATCGAAAGGATTTTGCAACCGAACAGCCTATAGAAGGACATAATATAGGATAAGCAGCAATACATAGCAACAATTAGCAGTAGTCAACATAAGAATTAGAACTCAGGTACTTCCAAAGTTTTATTCTTTTATGGGAAAAAAGGGTATAGAGGCAAATATTGTCTGTAGATGATCAAAAAGGGGAACAATTTTGGGTAGATTACCTGTGCGTCGGAGTAAAAGAAACAGAATTGAAGGCATCTCCATGGAAAATTGCTATATACTCATCAGCAAGCTAATTTTAGAAGTAGAAACGAGAAACAGAGATTGATGTGCCTAAAATAGCCATAATGACCGAGTGGGTTAGGTGCCTTAGGAAATTGATAGGAAGGGATCTGTGAAAGATAAATTGATGCTTAATGAAGACAATACTGGGAAATGTGATTGAATTCGAAATGATGATTACAATCGGTTGTTATTGAAAGAAGAAAAAAATTACAAGATATATGAGCTATTCAAGAGGCTCATTCTCTCCTCAGGTTTGCTAGATTCTTCTTGCTTTATTATGGCTCCTTCCTTGCCTTTTATAGTAGTTGGTATTCTTCTAGAATTCCCTCTAACGGTCTGCACATGCTGTTGGTTGCAATCATATGAAGCTCACGTAATTGCCCTCTTGCTGCACTGATTTCTTTCCTTTACTGCTGGTGCTTTGCTTCACCCGATCACGTCTTATGTATGTCACTTTAATTGGTAGCCTATCATTACCCCCCTTCGAGTCTCACCTTGTCGCCAAGGTGAAAGGAGGGGAACTGTTGATTAATTAAATCATAAAGTTCCCATATTGCTTCTAAGGGAGGCATACCCTTCCATTGAATCAAAACGTCATGGCCACGAAGGTTGCCTGTTGTCCCTAGTCTGACTCCTAATACTGCCTCGGGCTCTACTAGCATTTCCAACTCCTCACTGAGTTGTACAGGTAATTCCTCAACTGTTTGGAGCGTCCCCACAGCTTTTCTTAACTAGGACACGCGGAACACCGAGTGAATGTGGGTTATGGGAGGCAAATTAAGGCGGTATGCCACTTTCCCTACTTTCTATGTCACCGTGTAATGCCCATAAAACCTTGGAGCCAGCTTCTCATTCGGACGGGTGGCCAAGGATTTTCTTCTATACGGCCTTATCTTCAGGAGGACCGGGTGTCACCAACCTCAAAACATACTTTGCGCCGTTTAGCGTTAGCACGGTGTTTCATTCTAGATTGCGCTCTGAGTAATTGCTTCTTCAATTTCTTTAAGATTAGGTCTCTTTCCGACAACTGCTATTCTACAACTGAGACTATAGTTGACCCCTTTACAAATCGTATCAACGGTGGTGGCTCTCTTCCATAAACAATCTGGAATGGGGTGGTTCTAGAGGAGACATGATAAGATGTATTATACCATAGTTCAGCCCATGGCAACCAACTGTACCAAGCTCTGGGTTTGTTTGAAGCAAAACATCGCAAGTATGTTTCCAACGTGCGATTAACCACTTCTGATTGCCCATCGGATTGAGGGTGGTATGTGGTGCTCCTATTAATTTTGGTGCCCTCTAGGTAAAATATTTCTTCCCAGAACTTGCTCATAAATACCTTATCAAGGTTAGATACTATGGATTTTGGCACCCCATGTAAACGAACCACCTCCTTAATGAATAAGGTTGCCACTGTACTAGCTGTGAAAGGGTGCTTTAAACCTACGAAATGTGCATACTTGCTTAGTCGGTCCACTACGACCAAGATTGTTTCCATACTTGCAGATTTAGGCAACCCCTCGATGAAGTCCATGGCAATTTCTTCCCACACTTGGTCAGTTATAGGTAGCCGTTGCAAGAGACCTGCTGGAGACAAGGCTAAGTATTTATTTTGCTGGCATACCGAACACTGGTTGATGTAATGTTGGATGTCATTTCTTATCCCTTTCCAGAACACGTTGGCTGCTGAGTGCCTATATGTTTTAAGTGCCCTGGAGTGCCCTCCAATGCTCCCATCATTGCCTTCTTGTAACAGTAGAGGCACCAAGGCAGTTTTTCTTGGTATCGCCAGTAGCCCCTTGTATCGTAACTGCCCATGCGACAAGGAATACCCGAATTGTGATAGTCGGTTTGCCTCTAGATCATCCATGATTTTCCCCAGGCTTTCATCCGCCCCCACTTCTTTTATTAGCCTTTCCAACGATAGCACCTTCAGAACTGTTATCGCCATTAATTCAACCGCTGGATTTATCCTTTGACAACGCATCAGCTGCCTGTTCTCGAGCCTCGACCGATAATGTATGTCAAAGTGATAGCCTATCAGCTTAACCAACCACTTTTGATAGTCAGGATTAACCACCTTTGCTCCAACAGAAACTTCAAGCTTTTCTGATCTGTCTAGACTATAAATTTCTGTTCCAAGAGATAATGCCTCTATTTTTGAATCGCAAAGACGATGGCCATTAACTCCCTTTCATACACTAACTTGCTACGGCTATGTGGGTTTAAGGCATGGCTGAAATAAGCTACGGGACGCTGCTCCTACATTAAAATTGCCCCAAGTCCATGCCCTGAAGCATCAGTCTCCACAGTGAATTGTTTGCAAAAATCTGGTAGGGCTAACACTGTAACCGAAACCATAGCCTCCTTTAATTTTTGGAATAAGCCTCGGCTATTTTGTCCCAATAAAAGTTGTCTTTCCTCAACCTTTCGGTTACAAGCCAAGCTAGTTGTCCATATCCCTTCAAGAACCTTCGATAGTATCCGGTTAAACCTAAAAATCCACGGAGGTCTCTGAGATCTCGGGGGCTAGGCCAGTCACACATTGCCTTAATTAATGTCTGATCCGTTGCTACTCCTTTCTTTGATATAATGTGCCCCAAGCATTTGATTTCCGTCTGCCCGAACTGACATTTCTTTTTGTTGGCATATAATTGATGTTAGCCAGCAAGGTTAACACACATTTAAGATGCTCATAATGCTCCTCCATATTGCGGTTGTAGACCAGAATGTCATAAAAAAACACCAAGACAAACAGCCTTAACCGTGGTTTAAAGAACTCATTTATAAGTGATTGAAAAGTGGCTGGGGCGTTGGTCAGTCTGAATGACATGACAAGGAACTCATAGTGCCCTTCATGAGTTCGAAATGCTGTTTTCGGAATATCTCCCTCCATGACCCGAATTTGATGATACTCGACCTTCAAGTCCAGTTTGGAGAAAACTGTTGCTCCTGCAATTCATCAATGAGTTCCTTAATAACTAGAATCGTGAATTTATCCGATACTGTTACCCGATTTAATGCCTGGTGGTCTACACAAAAGTGCCAACTCTCGTCTTTTTTCTTGACTAATAATACTGGACTGGAGAAGGGGCTTGTGCTTGGCCAATAATACCCACAACTAACATCTTTGAACTAATCTTTCTATCTCATTTTTCTGCACATACGGGTAGCGATAGGGCCTTACGTTTACTGGTGCTACCCTTGGCTACAACACTATAGCGTGATACCAACTACAATTCGGAGGCAATCCTTGGGGTTCTTCAAACACCCCGGAGAATTCTGCGAGCACTCCCTCAAGTGCCATTGGTGTCCCCACTTGTAACTTCTCAGCAGTGATGCTTCCTAGCTCCAGCAACATTTCCTCTCCATTTTCTTTAAACGCCTTAATCATCGATTTCATAGAGACCAAGGTTTTGCTCAGGGGTCACCACGCAGGGTGACGGATGTGCCTCCCAACTTGAATTTCATTGTTAGCTCCTTCCAGTTCACCTGTGTACCGCCCAATGTAGCTAATCATTTCATGCCTAGGATCACATTCGAACTGCCCAATTCAATTGGTAAGAAGTCTTCAACAACCTCAATGTTTTGAAGCGATAACACCACCTGCTTACACACTCCCGCCTCTTGAGCGGCGAGGCCCCATCCCCATGATTACTCCATAGACGGTAGTGGCGGTTCTAAGGAGCCCCAACTTCTGCATCAACTCTGTCGAAATGAAGTTATCGGCAGCCCCGCAATCAATTAAAATCACTACCTATTGCCCCTCAATTTTGCATCTGACCTTCATTATACCAGGTGGGGTCAACCCCACCACCGAGTTCATGGATAGTTCTACCATTTCCCCCAACTCAGCCGCCTCTTTGTCCACGTTTTCTTCACCCACAGTCAACTTATCTTCTATGATTTCCTGACCTTCTTTGTCTTGGATTATCAATACTTGCAACTCTTTATTTTTGCATCTATGCCCAACTGTGTACTACTCGTCACAACGGAAACACAGTCCCTTCTCTTTTTTAAGCTGCAGCTCGGCTTCACTTAGTCGCTTGAAAGATGGATGCGTGGGTTGAGAGGCCTTATTAGTGGAGACCACCGTGGAGCCCATGGATGGAGGCGATCTGGGGAAAGAATGCGATGGGGAGCTTTCAAATGGGGCGTGTAGATAATTATGGGTCTTATCTCTATTTGGGCCGAATCCTCCTTGGGCCATTTTAATAGCCTGATTTCTTTCTTCTATGCCTTGGCCCCATCCATCATTTGGCCGAAGCCTTTGGGCCGCACCTCAGCCCGTATTTTTGGTCTCGGTCCATTAATGAAATTTCCTTCCAGAATCGCCTCAGACATCGCGTCGAGAGGTGCTTCTAGCGTCTCGAAACATCGCCGGTAGTCTCGAACGGAACACTCTTGTTGGAGTTCCAGAAACTTCTCCTCCAGGGTACCTTCCTAAGAAAGTTGGAACCTCTCTAACATCAATAGCTTAAGCTCCTCCCAATTCTGAAATTTTCGCCTCTTCCTCTCCTATTGGAACCATGCTAGGGCCTCCCCTTCTAAACATACTGTCGTGGCCTCCATTTTTTTCTCCTCCCCCAACTGATTAATGGAGAAATACCTTCTGCCCTAAAGATCCACCCATCCGGTTTCCTAATTCGATACTCCGATCTCCACATTCCACCCGCACCGCCTGTTCCCTCCACACCTCGACAGATCTCAGTCAGCTCAGTCCTAATTTCTGAAATGGGGGTCATATCTGGTGCATGTGCCTCTTCGCCCATCTTCCCCTTCTGTCCTCTCTCTTGCTTCTCCCATTGGTTCATTATCCAATTGAACTTCTCCATCATAGCTGACATTTATCCCCGCAAATCCGATCTCAAGGAGTCGAGACCAGTTTGTAACCCTTGATTTAGTTATTCCATTTGTCCCTCAATAACTCCCATGCGGTTGGCTAGCGTAATTTCCAGGAAGGTTCTCTGATACCAAAATGATAGGAAGGGATCTGTGAAAGATAAATTGATGCTTAATGAAGACAATACTGGGAAATGTGATTGAATTCGAAATGATGATTACAATCAGCAGTTACTGAAAGAAGAAAAAAAATTACAAGAGATATGAGCTATTCGAGAGGCTCATTCTCTCCTCGGGTTTGCTAGATTCTTCCTGCTTTATTATGGCTCCTTCCTTGCCTTTTATAGTAGTTGGTATTCTTCTAGAATTTCCCTCTAACGGTCTGGACATGTTGTTGGTTGCAATCATATGAAGCTCACGTGATTTCCCTCTTGCTGCACTGATTTATTTCCTTTATTGCCGGTGCCTTGCTTCCACTGGCGGATCCAGCGGCGAGCCCCCGCGGTTGCACGTGCTGGATCCGCCGGGAGCAATTTTTTTTTTGGTTCAGAATAGACAAATATTTAGGATATATTTCTGGTAAGCCATTTTTATTACAGCATTCCCTTCTAGCCAAGTTGGTAAGCACTTGCATGCCTTTTTTGGATGTCCCGGGTTCGAAACTTGTAACAACCAATTTATTGTATAATTTTTTAGTTATACAATTTTAACCAAAAACTAGTGTGATAAGGAAAGCCTGAAGGGAATTGAACCTGTGTGCTCCTTCTAGGAATATAGACAACTTGACCACTATGACAGTTGGGAAGTTGTGCTGTTAAAATTAACAAAAAAATATGTTAGATTTTACCGGGTTTAATGTAATTGTAAAAATTCAAACATGCTCTTCCTTTGAATTATACAAAGCAACAATATCATTTGGTGAGTACAATTTATTCTTATAATAAAATTATATATGTTCAACTTCAACAAAATAATTATTTTATTTAAATTTTAAGCCTTATTCGATTCCCATTTAGTTCAGAATACATTTTTTTCTTTTATTTTCGATCAAACATTCTTTAATAAAATAATGTTATACGCAAATTCAAATTTTTTATTTTTATTTTTAACTACACATTCTCTATCAAATCACTACTCCAAAATACATTTTTTTTTAAAAAAAAAATGACATCAAATGAGCTCTTAATATTTTATTGCGATCGACGGTCCACGGTCGACGATCAACGGTCACCCGTGCTGGCTCAACATCCTGGATTCGCCACTGCTTGCTTCACCTGATCACATCTTACGTATGTCACTTTAATTGGTAGCCTATCAGAAAGTAAATGACATGAGAAAGAGAGATCACAAGCAATTGTTCTATGATTGTTGTCACATGATATGCAATAGTCAGTGCCTTGTTTGTAATCAATATCGATAGGCAATGATTAAGTTGCTCTTTTGTTATCTTCCTTCATTCTGCTTCACCTTTTCTGTTGATTCTACAGTTAAATTGTTTTGGTCTTTTGCAGATCCTGCTGGTGCTGCTTCTTCACAGGCAAACAAGGAGGAGGTTGATTCACGATCCATTTTTGTTGGCAATGTAAGAATCAAGTGTTACATTCTCTTTGATGATCTTCAGTCATCTTTAGTGACTGTCTTTTCAGGTGCTTTAAATGATTTAGCATCTTCTTTTCTTTCTTTCTTTCTTTCTTTCATTTTTTTTTTCTTTTTTTCCTTTTTCATTTCTGATTTTTTGTATGTATTAATTTTTCAGATATTTTAAATAAAATAGAAAAAGTTCTAAATGAATCAAGTTATCATATGGATCTTTATTGATTTGAAATTTAAACATTGGTTTTCTGCAATAATTTTTCTCGTCATTAATACAGTAATTTGTTAAAATCATTTAGTGCAAAATCTATTTGGGTAGGCAGGAGGCTTGTGTATAGGAGGATCTAGTCAGATTGGAGATGATACTTGGGCTGCTTGGTTTTTTTATGAATTCTGTTTTTGGGCCTGCATTTGAAATTGCTAAGTTTGTGTCCTCTTGTCATTTCAGTATTGATGCATCCTAAATTCTTGTAAATTGTACTTCAAGTTATTTCTCCTTTTTATTATATTGTTTCAGAACCTGCATTTTCCTCAAAATTATATATATATTTTTGTTGGATTTGGACACTTTGCAGAAGTCACAGGTTTGACACGTCTCACTATTATCGCAGGGTCATTTTATACCTGAATAGCACTGGAATTGACCCTGTATATTGATGGTGAAAGGATATGCCTTTAAGTAGGCTGGTTGTTTAGCTAGGTTGTTTAAACCTGCCTTTCTACAAAGAGAGGAGAAAAATAATTGAAAGGGAAGAAAAAAGATGAAAAGAGAAATGGACATAAAAAATGAGAGGAAATTTTTTTTGTCAAGTACCCATGCAAAAATATAAAAGAAAAAGGTATTTTTCGCAGAAGGAAAAGAAAAAAGGGCAAAAATAAAAAAAGAAAGAAAGAAATGTATATGCTAAATGGGGACATGGGTTGATTGAAAAAGGTTTGAAAATCTATATCGGCACAGAGCTAGTTTCTGCATTTCTTAACACCAAACATTTTGTGAGTGGTTGAAACTATCTAGTTATAGTATGAGGTAAAATTCCACATGATGAACAAGAGTACCAAATTCTTGTGCATTTGAAGAGGCTAGTCATTGCCATGCCAATCCTGTGCCAGAGTTATTGCCAATGGATGGTGGACGCTAATGCCTCAAATTTGATTTGTTATTGAACCTTACGCGGTGAGGTGTCATTACATCGATGCTACCTTATTTTATTTGTTTCTTTTTGTTCAGACTGTCAAAGAACCATTCAAGAAATGCTCTACAACCCCTTTATAATAAAATTACCATGCTTTTGTTATTCTGAATCCATTTCTACTAACAGTGTGGTTCTGATATTCCTTTTCGGGATTTATTTACAGAATACATCTATTTTAAAAATATCCGCTTACCTGACTCTAGCGAAATCCTTGTACGATGTTTCATTCTCGCTTGTATTAAGCCATTTATAATTGCAAGTGATGACTCAAGTGTCAACTCTTTACTTGCCAGAAAATAAAAAGTGAAATAAAAAATCTCTATGTTAAACCACCTTGTTTGAGGCTTAAGCGGTTAGAGGCTGGGCAAATTTATTAGTTACATTTTTATCTTAATTACACCTCTGCGCTTGCAGACTGAACTCATTTTTCTGATTAAAAGATCTGCCATGTGGAATTTTCTTTAATAGATGGCACTGAGACTTGAAGTTAGGACTTTGACCTGCTATGATACTATGTTAAAACCACTTCTTAAGCGAGTAGAGAGAAGAAATTATTTGTATTATATCTTAAATAGTATGCAATAATTTTTCTCGTAGATAGAATTTAAAACCAAAATCAGTATTGGAGTATCCATTAGATTATTTCAAAACTTTGATACGAACGATTCTGATTTGATGAATATGAAAAGCAAAACATGAATTTCAAGTACTTTTGTATTTGGTTTTGCTATGATAATTTTAAATAGGCACGAGACTGTAGTATTAAGAGATTGTCTACAATAAGGTGAATCCTGGGCAGGGGGTCAAACCTCCCTCCTCTTAGGGATTGTATGAAGAAGAAGGAATTATAATCTTAGATGTAGGATTGCTCCTTGAATGTCTTGTGACAGTAGAATTTGCTACTAAACACTCTTGCTCTTCATTTACATATGCAATGTGGCACACAATGATAAGCTCATTTCTGTGAGACATTAGAATTAATTGAGTAAATGAATAATGCCTAGTTCGGAATTGACATACTGGGGTGGAAAAAGAGGTTTTTAATTGTATTAATGTGGGAGAAACAGAAACGTGAAGCCTGTCAGAGTAATTAATTCTGTCGGCCAATATACTTCTATTGATGGTAGAAAAACTGCATAATGATGATATGATTGCTTGTTCTGTTCTTGCTTTTAACACGTGAGTTGTGCATATGAACTAGTGTTGTCTTCTGATGCTGTTTGGATCATATAGAATGAGATAAATGTGTAAAATTAGTTGGAAACAGATCTTTCAATCAGTTTGCCATTCATTGATTTCAGGTTGATTATGCATGTACCCCTGAGGAAGTTCAGCAGCATTTCCAGTCATGCGGAACAGTGAATCGTGTGACCATTTTGACTGATAAGTTTGGGCAGCCCAAAGGATTTGCGTACGTGGAATTTCTTGAACAAGAAGCTATTCAAGAGGCTATCCAGCTGAATGAATCTGAATTGCATGGACGTCAATTGAAGGTACATGTGTTACATGCGAGAGAGAGCTCTTAGTGCATTGTTACTAGTCCTACATCATCCTTGCTAGCAAGCAAATGAATCTCAGTGCACGTTTGGCAAATCTTAAATTATGTTTAAACTTGTTAAATAAACTCTTTATTCATGCATTTTATGTACCCACTATTTATTATTGTGTGGGATCCATCACTTAAATTATAATTTAAGCACCCCCAAACACGCATTTAAAATGTAACAAAGTTTATCTGCAAATTAACATGAATAATTTCGGGTCTTTAGGCAAGAATAAAGAAAATCTCTAGATGATGATTTTTTGGTGGCAGGACATTTGCCTGTTTGACTTGTAACTTCTCAATATACACATTTACAGGTTATGGCAAAAAGGACAAATCTTCCTGGAATGAAACAATATCGTGGAAGGCGCTTCAATCCTTACCTTGGATATAGGAGGAGGCCATACGTACCCCCATATTTCTATTCCCCATATGGTTACGGGTGAGTTTCTAACCATTATTTACCTTAACATCTTAAGTGTAATTCCAATAAAAACAAGTGAAAATAATGTTTCTGCATGTTACAGGAAGGTTCCAAGGTTTAGGAGGCCAATGCGCTACATGCCTTACTACTGAAAGATTCCACATTTCAGAAAATGAACACTCTCTTTATCTTCATGACGGTTTATGCAGTTGTTAGTAGCTGCAGAGGTATTTTACCTAGGCAGTCTTTATAGTCTTGCTATCATATTCCTATGATGTATGAGCTCTTTGGTATAAAGTTTTTGTTTGCATGGCACTGGTGAAAGTTCTCTCTTCATGTATTTTCTGATTTCCAGATGACTGTTCATTACAATTCTGATGAGGAAATGATGTTAGTTAACATCAATAATTTGTCGACAGGTTAATATGTTTATTATCATATGCTTAAGAGGTAGGTTTATATATACTTTTTCTTGAGACGGGCAATTTATTACGTGTAGTAATTGAAATAACTCATTTGTGTGAAATTGGGAACTTCAATAACTGGCTTGGGATACTTTTAAAGGATTATCTATTTAGTTCGAATAAGCCCTTTACTAATAATAACAAAAGCTTAAAGATTACTTATTGTGTAACCATATCTAACAAGAAACTAACTAATGCGGGTGACTTATTTAGGAGTCTATGTTCCGAGCTAGCTCTATATTCATAGGCGCCTCGTTTGGCAGGCTTTGAAAAAGTCTAAAGTAGGTTATTCTAATCAATGAGCCGAGCCGAGCCGAGTCGAATTAGACTAGCTAAAATGAGTTTTGACATTTTCGACATAAAGCGGATGTGATAAATAAGCCCTTGTTTGAGTCTTATTTTTTTTAAAATTCATTTTTCAAAACTTATTTTCATTCATATATTTTCCAATAAAACAATAAGGTAGTGTTTGATTGGCACAATTCCTTCCACCCAAAATGTAGTGTTTGATTCACAAGATTTTTCATGGAATTGGTTTCTAGCTTTTATTGGAAGTTGTGTTATTCCTTGATTTGGTGGAATTCCAATTCTCATCATATATGGTGAGAATTGGAATTCCCGGCTATTGTAGTAATTTTTTTTTTTTGGGTTTTAGGCAATGAAAACCAATTCTAAGAATTATTGTAAAAAAAATATTTCTTTCATTGATAATTTTCATGTAAAACAAAGTCAAACGAACACAAAAAAATAGATGATTTTTTTGAATTTTTTATTATTTTTTATTTTTTGCTTTTTGGCAATGGAAACCAATGTCATTCCTAATATTAGTAAATTTTATTCTTTTAATTGACAATTTTTATGTAAAACAAAGTCAAACAAAAATCAAAAAACACTTTTATTTCAACATTTTTCATATGGAAAATTATACCAATCAAATATAATAATTTACAATTTTCAGGAAAACAATTCTAGGCAATTTAATTCCCTAAAATTCGTTTTCCATCCAATTCAATTCCATCTTTGCAATCAAAAGAATCCTAATAGTATGTAAATTTAAAATTTTTCCTTAATTTTTAGTTACACATTTTTCATTAATCTACTATTTTAAAATACATTTTTTTCTCCCAAAATTGGGCTCAAACAATAGTCTGTTGAAAACGTTATAACAATTTAATTGTGTGTCAGCATAGTGGTCATTTATGTTCATGTAGTTTCATATATGACTTTTGAGTATCGCACACTGTAAATATTGCATATCAAGTTGATGCCATTTTGAATTATTAGTTTTCGAGTTAAACATGTATGTTCTATACATAAATTTGAGCATCGCATTCTACAAATAGTACGCATCAAGTTGTCGTCATTCGAAATTATTAGTCATTAATGAATCTTTCTAGATATATTCGATTGATTAGTAATATATCTTCAACTTTTGCATTGTCCACACAAGTCACAATTTGACAACCCCACCAAGAACGGTGATCGATAATATCAATTGACTTTTGGTTGGCTTCGCTTGTGACATTTGGCTAGTGGATGTAGTGGAACTCTAATGGAAGAATTCAAAACCTAAAACGTAGAATCTTTGACCGAATTTTACCACAACTTGGCTTTCAAGGACTTTTCCTTTGCTCCTTTTTAAAATTTTAACACGAAAATTTAGGCCCAGTTCTCTTTACCGTTTTCGGGCCGTTTTCTGTTTTCGATTTTTCAAAACGATGAAAACGTGTTCTCTTTCCCGTTTTCGAAAATTCGAAAACGAAAAAAAACATTTGTGAAGAAAACACAAAACGATTTTTTTCACTTGGCCTCAAAACTCAAAATACAAAATTGAAATACAAAGAGAATACCCCCTTAGTTTCCATTTGGCCTCCATTAATTTTCATTTTATTACATTTCATTTTTTTCTCTCCTATTTTCAACCACACAATCTTCCATAGAATAATATTATACCTAAATCAAAAACTTTTTCTTCTTTTTCAACCATTCATTTTTAAAAAAAATACTATTCCACCCATTTTCATTACCACAAAATGGGGCCAAACGGGGCTTAATTTTTAGAAGGTTGCTTTTACTTGTGCATAATTGACAAAATTTAAAATTTTTAAAGTGTTTATAAATGGTAGATCTTACGAAGTATGCGAATGGTAAATTATGAATCTTATGAAACGTGAGAATAATAAAGTAACGATAACAATGAGTCAATGAGTCCCATCTCTAACCCGTCTAGGATTTTCGAAGGCAGGGGCATTATTGAAGTATCTTGATTTAATGCTGTCCACTTATTTAATTAATGTGATTTATATTGATTAACAGAAAATGTAAATAAGCCCCTGTTTGATTAACATTAAATTAAATTACATTACATTCCATTTTTCTCTCTCCTATTTTTAACCATACAATCTTCTATAAAATAATATTACACGTAAATCGAAAACTTTACCTTCTTTTTCAACCACTCATTTTTCAACCACTCATTTTTATGGTGGGTTAGGTAATTGAGGGCGGAGGCGTGGAGATTTTTGCCTTCTCTTCTTCTAACAAAAGTACGTTTTGAAAAGTACATTTTGAAATTTATTAAGTTTAGAGAAATTAAGAACAATAGAAGATAATTAATATAGTCAAAAATTCTCACTGCTATTTCAAAAAAAAAAAAAATATTTTTCTTTTCAATTTCTGAAAATCTTTAAAGAAAAAGGTACAATGGTTGCCAAATTGAGATGTGTTCATACTCAACTTTAAACGAGTATAGAGAGCTGGGAATTTAGAGAGAGAGAAGCGGAGAAAATGGATAGGAGACAGGTGGTGGTGACGGTGGATTTCTGGTTTTGGGTTGAGGGGTTGGGGTTAGGGTGGGGGTGGAGGTAGAGGTGAGGGAGAAGAAAATAATTTTCCTTTTTATTTTATTTTGATTTCTTCTTCTTTTATGTTGTTTTTTATTTCAGGTTTTTAATGAAAAAAAATATAAAGTTACTATTTTGTCCTTTTCTAATTGATTAAAATGTGGTCAAAGTCCAATTTTTTGGCTAACTAACAGAATATGGATGGAATTCATCCATTGAGACTTCATCTGCAACGTTTTAAAAGGTTTGGGGTGACAACTGCAACAAATGAATGGTTAGGAGAAAGTTTACAACTTTTTGAAAGATTTGGAGCCTTACCTGCAATTATCCCTTTATTTTAATTTATCAAAATGCATCCATATAGAATTTCATTGGGAGTTACAATTTGAATAGAATACATTGTTATAAAGTAAGTACATGACTATTTAGGTAAGATCAACTGACTAAGAATTATAAGGTCCCGTTTGGTACCAATTTTTGTAAGAATAAAAATGAAAAATATAGTCATTATGGAACCCACACAAGAGATAGAAAGTCAAATATAGTGACTTGATGTGATGAATAACGATCATATTTTTTATTTTTGTAGCCAAAGAATGGAAAGCAAACGGGGGTTAAATTTCACAACACTTCGTCCCCTTGCTGAAAACTTGGTTAAGTGAGCCTTAAGCTTAAATAACTATTTAAACAATAACTGGTTGTTAAAAATCTTGTTTGGCAAATATCAAGAGAAGAAGAAAGAGTACAATTAATGATAAAAAAAATTCGAACAATAAAGCGTTGTCTCGTTGAAATATGGTTATGAAAACTCAATGAGACAAACCCTTAAGAGAAAAAGAAGTACAACAGCTCTCCTAATTTCAATTCGTAAAAATCCTTACATCGAATCATCCATATTTTGTTCGTTAATATCTTCAATGACATCATCTTCATACTAGATATTCATATATCCCTTCTTGATTGCCTTAGTCAACATGATAAACTGGTCAAAAAATAGATCTTGTTATTGCCTGCTTCCAAAGTTTCGTATATAATTTGTAACATACGAGAGTAAGCCATAGAATTATGTTGGTGGTAAAGGTCTGGTAGATTATTGACATTCATTGCTCCAGATATGTCTTGTAAAAATATTGTTACAAAAAACGTAGTAAAGGAAAAGATTACACTATTTTTTAAAATACAATACATAAGTAATCTCATTAAAAATTCGATGAGATAAAGTCTATGTCAATAAAAAATAGTACAACACATATTTACTTCTATTCATATAATATTATGAGAGGCATGTTGCATAAATTTGAAAGGAACCATATTCATAAAATCCTTCCATAAAATCATAAATTCCATGTTGAAATCAAAGAGACAACAAAAAGTGCGGAAACATACCTTGATCCATGAATATTACTGCTTTAATTGGGTTTTGATCTTCCAATTGATACGTGATTCTCCTTCCTTTTGGTTTTCTTCAAAGTCTCTGTTGATGGGGATGCAGAGATATTTTCAAAAGAAAATCACGTTCAAATTGGGGACCATAACCACTTTTAAAATAACTGCTATTGGCAGTTATTAACTTTAAGTTATTTCAAATCGGCCCCTCATCAATTCAAAATAACACCTTCTGGTCTCTACACTTTAATCCCATAAAATTTAATACCCATTAGTCCAAAATTAAATCCAATGGATCACTTTATCGACTGTATTTACTTTAAAATAGCACCACACATTCTAATAAATGTACATGTGTGGCCCCAAAGTTGGAATTTTTTTCCAACAATCTCCCACTGGGCCAAACATGTTACATTATAAATGTGCACAGACTTATGAGCTCAAAATTGTGCTATAGTTATTAAAGGTATTTCCAAACAATCTCGTCCATTAGTTACATCGATGTAGGATCAAAGCTATTTTCTTCACATTTAGCGTGACTAAATCCATCAATGGTCACGTACACCCATGCAACCAAATGACATAGATCAATTATGGGAGTGTAGCATGGAAATTACATGTTATGTGATCCGAACATGTCTATTTCCAACTGGTCCAACCTTATTTCTTAAGTGAGATCAGTACTGAACATAATAACAGAGTGGAATGAACTGAATACTTTATTTCTGTACAGAAAATATCCAAATACATAAATGTGTTCAAAGAACTAA